AACTAGCTAGCATTTGTTGCCCTTAATGCAGAGAAACTAAAGCAGATACCTTAAAGCAACTGAGGTCAACAGGAAAAGGGGACCAGGAACTAGAGAAAAGGTTAGATCAAAAAGAATTAACCTAGAAGGTAACACCCACGCACAGGAAATCAATGTGAGTCAATGCCCTGTATAGCTATCCTTATCTCAACCAGCAAAACCCCTTGTTCCTTCCTATTATTGCTTATACTCTCTCTACAACAAAATTAGAGATAAGGGCAAAATAGTTTCTGCTGGGTATTGAGGGGGAGAGCGGGAGGGGGTGGAGTGGATGGTAAGGGAGGGGGTGGGGGCAGGGGGGAGAAATGAACCAAGCCTTGTATGCACATATGAATAATAAAAGAAAAATGAAAAAAAAAAAAAAGATTAGGCTTCTTTTAATGGGCATAAATAATAGAACAGGCCTCACCTATAGCCTACAGCCCCAGTGAAGGAGCCCCTATTTCTGCTTCACCTCCAGATAAGAGTGGCACAGGAGGAGTAAGCATTCTACCCATGGGTCTGTGTACGCTTTGGTGTAGGACATCAGGCGTCAAAAAAAAAAAAAAGAGATTGGGGGGGTCCATTCTATTTGCTCATGAATTTAAACTGCAATTTGGATTTCTAAACATGACACATAAAACTGAAATCACAATATTCTCATTTTTTAACAGCTTCATTTATGCACATTTGGGTGCAGGGAACACTGTGTCAAGCCTGACAGGGGAGAGTTCTTTTTTTTTCGGAAAATATTTCAGACTCTCTTTTGGATCCCAAGCTCACTGTGTTCTCCTACATAAACAATGGCAGCACCTGGAAGACAGCGCCATTCTGGCATCCTTGCAATTCAAACTTGGAAATGAACTGCGTGTACCTTGGCTGCCGAGACCTGTCTGGCCTCAAGTTTGAGGAAGACAGGGTAGACTGAGGGCTGGGGTGATGGGTAGGCTTAAATGCTGGGAAATCTTTGTACTTATTGTAGGTTTAACAACCTCACTGGAGACTGCACAGCTGAAACTGTATTAACATGATTGCGTTTAGATCATCTAGAGAGAAATAACCAGCTTGATTTGGATTAACTAGCTAGATTTTTAATTAGCATTTTATATAGAAACCAGTATCAGACACTGCAAAAATGACAAATGGTGGCAAGATGACAAGTAGCAAGAGGACATGCATTTAGAAGTTTTGGTTTGGGCTGGACCATCATCCCCTCCCCCATACAACACTGTAATTGCTCGACTCATTTGTTGAAACAACAAATGGATATGCAAATGCTTTTATAATTTATCAAGGTCAGAGGGAAAGCACCTCATGAGTTTTTGGCTCTGTTAGTACTGTTGTTCGATTGTGTGATTTCTAATCTTATTGGCTCGCTTCAGTTTCTCAGCCTTTACACCCAAAGGGATGAGCTAATGTGCACGTTTTCTACCGGTTCCCATCTTTTTGGGAACCTGGGCTATTTCTTTTGAAGCTCGCAATAGGCGAACTGAGATAACCAGAGCTTTGTGTGGAATCCAAAAGATTTTCACACTCAGTAACATTGTTAACAAGAAAGAACAAGAATGACCTTTGAAGTAATGTCTCATTGTCTTCTGTGTGCTTTTTAACAATTTTTTAGAGCATATGTTTGCCATGAGAAACATGTCTAGTTAGTTGCTTTCCCTCCCTTAGTTATAATTTAGTAACTGTCAATTATTGTGATTTGCATAAAATAAAACATCCAGGAGTTTTATTTTTTAGGCGTCTTCTCTCCTTTTTCTGCATCCTATAACTACAATAACAAGAATTCTTAGAGTCGTAGAAGTTTTTTAAAGCAAACTATAGTTGAATTGTTGATAAACATTGCAGATGGAGTAGAAATGTCTTTGCGTAATATGATCTTCAATGTGCAAATGAGATGTCCTTTTGTATAAAATCCAGTATGTCTAAATAGATGTGGTCACTTTGGCTGCATATTTAGTCATTCTTCCCTGCCTCACAGAAGAGGAGAGTTTTGGCCAACACTGCTTGGATGGCAGGTGCAGGGGAGCCCTCTAGCGGAGAACCGCCAGGGCAGACATGGGAGTAGGAAAGGAAGTGTGAAGTGAAGGGAGAAAGAATGGGGCAGGGTTGAACTGCACCATGTAAACACAATGTGATTTGCATGTCCTTCTCCTGGCGTGGAAGATGTTTATTGCATTAGGGATTATTGAGGCATGTGCTAAGCTGGTGCTAAAATGAAAATCATTATTTCAATGCAAGTTCTTCATAGCCCTCCCCTGAAACACCTGGGATGGGCACGATCAGGGACTGGGAGATACATTTTGGTAATAAACAGGAAATTGAATCTGAATTGGGTGAGATGACCCTTCTCTCAGGGGTAGTGAGACCAGGGTTTTCTTATCATTTCAGCTACTTCTTTAAACAGAACAATGCACTATGCCAACTCTCTCCTTCCCCCAAGGCCTGAGTTGAGCCATGAATATTATTTTAATTCACTGCTGTTTATCTCCTACCTAGAAAGAAAATTAGAAAGCACTTCCTCTCCCATATCCCTGACCATAATGCATACCTGCAATTGCAATGCCAAATACATACAAAAATTTTATACTCTTTTACCTAGGGTCATAATATTTCTGTTGGTTTCTTATGCCAGTCATTAATTATTTATAAATAAAATGAAGACTTTAAAAATCCTCATCTTTGCAGTTTAAAATGACTTCTGATTTTAATGGTTTATATAGGATATTTTTTAAACATGTTGTATGGGAAATACCCTGCAATACATGTGCACTTAGATATGCATTCATCTATATCTATATGTGTATATCTAAATATAGCCAATGAATTAGGACTGGGGTCCCTGGCTCACAGCTATCTTATTGACCATCATCCATAAACCCCTCTCAGGGGTTCAAACAAACATGTTTCCAGGCAATAAGAATTAGACTTCGAAGTTTGTGCATTTCAAAGCCTGCATAAGATTCGTACCCCCAGTCTTAGGGCCAGTCAGTGAAAATGCAGACTCAGCACATTTTAAGCCTGAATCGTAGCGGACTTTATTTCTAGTCTGTGACACTATAGAGTCCATGAGTTCCTAGTCAGTAGACCTGCGTTTCCTTTTTCTGAAAAGAAAATGGCTATAACAAGAATATTTAAATCCCGATTACACATCAGGGACCATCTAAGACATGTCTTCCTGAAAGTCTGGTTAGCCATTAGTCCTGGCTTAGTCCTGGTAGCTTAGCCATTTCTGAACTCTCCATGGTCTTCCCTCTATGGGATATGAGGATGCTCAGGCATGTGCTGCATTATCAGGTAGATTAACTCCTTGCAGTGTGGGCCTGGGGCCCTGGCACATGTGTATGCCTTGGAGAACAAGGACCAGTGTCTTACACCTCCTGGGTCTATTTACGCATTCCTTCACTCATTCATTCACTGGGTCGTTCATCCAGTGGTTTTTGAGCCTATCTGAGGCCAGGTCCTGTTCTACCCTTTGGAGCTATACTAGTATACAAAACAAGCAGGATGTTTTTCCTGATAGGGAGTCCTTAGGAGGGGAGGGTGATGTACATTAAACTCGTAGCCACAAGTGGAAATTTTCACAATGGGAAGACAAATACAAACTTAGACCCCATGTTAAGTGTAATAGAGGAGAAGGGAATATGGCATCCTAAAAGGAAATAATGCATGGCCTTATTTACATTTTGGATCCAAAAAGACCTCTAGCATGGTGATGTTTACACTGGAGCCTGAAGACACGTGGTATTGCCTATGTAGTAGGCATTTCAAAGAAAGTATTTGTTTCTTTGAGAAATGTCTACTCATCTCCAAGGTCATATGGACTAAACCTCCTAACTATGGAGAACCCCCCCCTTCCTGAGTCTCCCCCTGCAACCCCTCCTCCCTTTACTGGCCAGCCTCCCATATTTTTTTTTCTGGGGCCCCAGGTTCTGATAACCCATAGAAGCCCCTGCTGTGTGTCAGCTCAGATTACAGTGGAAGTAAAGCAACTGGGCTCAGATCTACTTTCAGAGTTAGAACAAAAGTTGTTCTTAGGAATATATTTATGAAGCATTTTAGCATTCTCTTGGGCACGTATTCTAAAGTTGGCACGTGCTCTTGATTGCACATAGCATTTGAGATTCAGCCCATTTGGGGTTGAACTGCAGCCCAGTGACCTTGAACACGATCTTGAACAGATGATTTCATGGTCCTGGTTTCCTCATCTGTGAAAGGAAGGCAAACTCCCTTTAAACTCCCAAGGGAGAGCAGGCGCAGAGCAGGCAGCTACTAAACAGTCACTGCAAGCCCTGCCCTCCCCTTCTCCCCAATTCCCTGACCCATCTGGGCCCCAGTTTTTCTTGAGCTCCCCAGTTCTCCTCTCTGCTCCAAGCTCACATGTAAGTCACCATCCTTCCTTCAAAACCAGCTCCCCAGAGCCTGAATCTGCTTCAATCAAGAGACATTTTGGCCCATAGTGGGCGACCCAGGTCTCAGTAACAGGAAGATATGAACACCAAAGGACTAAGCAAGACCTCAAACCTGCCAAACAGGATGGGAGCAACACCCAAGCTGAGGTTTAGGCTAAGGTTTGGTCCTCAGGGATCTAGGGACACCAGGCAGGGTAACAATCAGAATCTGGGAGCAGGGACCGAGTATGCACAGATGGAAACCCAGGTGTGTGGGTGGAGCTTACATAAGAAGGGGAAGACAGGCTATGACTTACGGCTCCCTAAGACCACCAGGACCTTATGCAGGAGATGGGCACTTGGCCTTGGCCATCTAAAAAACAGTGCATTTCAGCCTCCAAGGAGAGAGGTGTGGGCAAGGCCTGAGGCAGACCCTCTGAGCTACATGTAACTGTATCAATGAGATCGGCTTTGGGAATGGAGCACAGAAGGCAGAGAACTTAGCAGGAGAAACTCCCAGCAGATAGGATGTTTTGCTTATCTATAAATGTATGTGATTACAGTCAAATCTCTCTTATTCCCATACAGGTTAGCACAGACACTTCCAGCTTGAGAAAGGCAGACCCAAAAGGTCGGAGCGCACTGTTGGCTGATATCCAGCAAGGAACCCGCCTGCGAAAAGTCACACAGATCAATGACCGCAGTGCTCCTCAAATCGAGAGTGAGTAAGCAGCTCCATCAGGCCTGCCCTGAGCCCAGGACAGGCAGGTGTGTGAAGCACAACTGGACACACCCCTAGCTGGGTTGCATTTGTGTCCCAGGCCACCACAGACCTGCTCAAAGGACAGACCTTTCTCAAGTGGTAGAAAAATGAAAACTTCCCTTCCAGGTCTCTGCATTTGCTGTAGAGCGTATCTTTCATTGCTTTTCAAATACAAAACAAACAAACAACAGTCTATACTGGGATAACTTTTCTTATTATGATAAAATATACATAGCAAAATTCACCATTTTTACCATTTTAAAACGTCCCTTTCAGTGGCACATGGAAAAGTTATAATGTTGTGGCAACCATCTCCTCATCTCGTTCCAAAATGTTTCCACTATCCCAAAAGGAAACCCCATGCTCATGAACAGCCACTCTCCATCCCTCCCTGGCAACCACTACTCCACTTTCTGTTTTTGTGGGTTGCTTATTCTTGGTATTTCATAAGAACGGAATCATAGCATATGTGGCCTTTTATGACTGGCTTCCCTCACTTGGCATAATGATTGCAAGCTCCATCTATGTTATAGCATGTATCATTACTTCAGTCCTTTTCTTTCATACAATTTTATGTATGGATATACCTCATTTTGTGTAGCCATTGTGGGGTGACATTTAAAGATTACTTACTCTGTGTCAACATACTCCTCAAATTCAAAGATAGAAAATAAAGGTCTTGGAGACTGGGCACAGTGGTGCCTGCCTATAATCCAGCTACTTGAGAGGTGGAGATAGGAAGATCAAGATCTGAAGCCAGTCTGAGCAAAAGCAGGAGACCCTCCATGAACAACTGCCTAGCAAGTACCAGGTCCTGATTTCAAACCAGAGAGAGAGAGAGAAAAGGAAAAGAAGAGAAAATCAAGTTCTCAACATTAAAAAAAAATGTTTCATTTTTCACAAGGAAAAAAGATTTATCCAGAGTTGTTTTGCAGCCTTCTGTCTTCCCAAGGATGATAGAGAACAAAGAGTCCCGTGCTTGGGTCAACTGACCCATGTTGAGTTCTGCTTCTGCTACTGTAAGCAAATTAGGGAAACTCTTTTGTTTGTTGTTTGTTGGCCCTGGAGACCCTATGCTGAGCACATGCTATACCACTGAACTGCACCTGCAGCCCCTTGGCAACCTCTTTGAGGCTCAATTTGCTGATCTGCAAAAACAGGGTAGATAATAACAGCCACCTTTTTTTTTAATTTGATCAAAATTATAGAAGGTTTGAATATGGAAGGTTCATATGCAGAACTCTTTATTAATAGACAGTATTAGTATGTCTGCATATATTTTGCAATGACGTTTTGCAATGATATTTGACCATAATTCTCAAAGATAGTTCCCAAAACAGAATTGTATCTCATCTCTGTAACTATATATGTTAACACACAAAGATGGACACATTTTTAAGGAAAAATTTTCAACATTGATTATAATAAATATTAGTTTCTGGTCAGACCCACTATCTAATTGGTTAAGCACAATTAGCAGTTTCATTCATTTTATTGGAACATCCACTTGCGATTCACTCCAATGAGTAAGTAATGTATTATCAATGCTCAGATAGGCTGAGCATGGTAGTGTATGTCTATAATTCCAGCACTTGGAGGCTGAGGCAGGAAGATCATGAGTTTGAGGCCAGTCTGAGCTGCACAGTGAGACTCTATCCACCCACCCACTCCCCACCAAAAAAAAAAAAAAAAATCAAGAACCTCAGAATAATCTGGCCACTTTCTTCCACTAGTGGGCACTGTGTCCTAATTCAGCTTTAGGTTGTAACCATCTTCTGCCAGGAATTCTTGTTAAGCTGAGTATCTTCTCAGCTTCTGCTGTTGGTAACCACACACATCTGGAAGGCTAGAGTTAGTGATGTCCGGGCTCTCTGGCTTTCTGTTCTATCGCAGTAAAATTACAGGGAAGCATAGAGGCTTCAGGCCTGAGAGCTGAGGAGACAGGCAAGAAAGTTCTGAAGCAGAAATCATTGCAGGGCTTCACTTCCTGTCAGCGGCTCTGGTCAGTGCTCAATGGATAAGAAATTAAAATGACTGACTGGAGTAAATCAATGGCTTTTCTTCATCTGGTCCTTTCAATGCCAAGTTGAAAATAAGACCAGCTCCACATCTACCATATTAGGGTTTCTTTTGCAAAGAACTTCCAGGACCCCCATTGACACCCATCAATGGTAGTATTCAGGTCCCTTTGTTTTTGTCACTTTTCGGGATGATTAGTCACAAATGATCAGCTCTTTGGTAGGATTAGAAACAGTAGCAGACAGAGGCAGGCAGAGTCTGCCAGGTGTCATGGCAGAAGGTGCAATGGAGAAGATGCTGAGTGGAAGGGTGAGAGGCTGCCGAGGGCAGTGTTCAGCTCTGCTCACAAGTCTTGTGTGCCTGCCTCTTCTCCCTGAAGGTTCGAAAGGAACCAATAAAGAAGGAGGAGGCCCTGCAAATTCCAGAGGAGGAAGCACACCCCCAGCCCTGGGAGATCTCTTTGCTGGTGGCTTTCCTGTGTTGCGACCAGCAGGTCAGAGGGATGCAGCAGGTAAGGAAAATTCAGACTTGTGGTCTTTCTTTCTCCCTTTAACTATGGGACCAACTGAGCAGTCCACACATGCCAGTCACACAGTGGGGAGCTTAAACACTGGATGTTTACAAAGCACAGAATTAGTCTTCAGGAACCTTCTTTTGGGGGAGGTGGTGGGAGTTTGAGAGTGGCACTGGGTTTTGAACTTAGGGCCTTGTGCTCTACCACTTGAGCCATGCCCCTAGTCTTTTTTTTTTTTTTTTTTTTTTTTTGCTTTAGTTATTTTTCAGGTAGAGTCTGTAGTTTTTGTCAGGGGGCCAGCCTCAGGCTATGATCCTCCTACCTATGCCCTCCATGTAGCTGGGATTATAGACACAAACCATCATACGTGGCTTGTTTTGTTGAGGTAGGATTTCCTTAACTCTTTGCCCAGGCTGGCCTCAAACCTCAATCCTCTGCTTTCCACCTCCATGTTAACTGGGATTACAGCTGTGTACTACCACCACACCAAGCCCCACTACAGTAATCTTTTAAATAATCATTCTGTTTCAGTTATCTCATTGTAGTAATTGAAGAGTGACTTGACATAGTGTGTGTTACTAACAACAGTGTGATGGGGATCCAGACAGCAAAGTATAGACAAATCATCATAGAAGATTATAGTGACTTCACTGTAGACTCAGTAGCAATGGGAGTTGTGATGGCTCTCCATCGTTATAAAAGTTAGGCATTGCTGGGTAACAAAACACTAACACTTAGGAGCTCTAAACAACCATTTATTTAGCCTATAATGCTAAATTAGTAATCTAGAGTGGTCTCAGCTAGGCTCCCTCTAGCAGCTGCAAACAGCTGCAGGTTGGGGAGGGGACTTGGTTAATCTTAGATTTCTCCAATGTCTGGGGCCTTGATGGGAACAAATGGCCTGACTCACCTCAGAGCTGCAGAGTCTCTCATTCTCCAGAGCTATTCAGGGCTCCTTATCATGGTGGTGGCAGGGTTCCAAGGGAGAAGCACAGGAAGGCTTTCAAAGTCTTCCTTACTACTGGTCTTAATACATCCCTTTGGCTATAAAGTCAGTGACAAGGCCAGCCCAGAGGCCAGGAATAGACCTCACCTCTTCTTTTTTTTGCTTTTTTTTTTTTTTTTTTGTGGTACCAGGGCTTGAACTCAGTGCCTACACCTTGAGCCTCTCCACCAGCCCTTTTAGTGTTAGGTATTTTCGAGATAGATCTCGCAAACTGTTTGCCTGAACTGTCTTCCTACCACCATTCTCCTGATTAGCTAGGATTACAGATGTGAGCCACCAGTGCCGGGGGTAGACCTCACCTCTTGATGAGAGGAACTGCACAATGTCATTCAAAGCTTATAGATTTCAGTATAAGGCCATTTTTTAAATCAGTCACCTGAAGTCACTTGTGCTTAAGTGAGCATTCAGTGTTTCAAAAGTATTACATTAAAATTGAGTAAAATATATTTATTGAGCAAAAAAGTATTTTTCCTATTATTTTCTTGGAGGAGGGCAGTTCCTTAGTTGGTGGGATGGCCCTTGGGCTGGAACAGCTGGCCCTTCTGTGTGACAGCTGTCACAACTGAGGCCTATATCAGTGGACGTGCAGGTGAAGCCGTCTACTACGAGCTCCCTGGCATGAGGCCTACATGTGTTGCGGGTGTCTACGGGCCTGGGCTTTCTCCTTTCTTTATTGCTGAGCTAACGAATGTGTCTCCCTTCCAGGTGGCAGGACAGGGCAGGCCCCTGGCTCCCGAGCGCCTTCTCCCAGGCTTCCCACCAAAACCATAAGCGGCCCACTTAAACTCCCTGCATCTCCCAGGCTAGGCAATGCCTCCGAGGCCCAGGGCCCTGCCAGGACCGCCCCTCCTCGCCCCAGTGTGCCGGCACCCCCACCGCCCACCTCGCCACCACCTCCCCCTCCGCTACCTCCCCCTCTACCCACTTCCTCCCCCATCAAAGCCCCGCTGGTGTCCCCACCCAGCCCACCATCCAAAGGGAATCCTCCGGTGGTTGCACCCCCTCTCCCCAGCGTGCCTCCACCTCCACCTCCTCCCCCCACCCCACCCCCACCTCCTCCTCCCACCCCACCCCCACTGCCCCCGGCCTCAGTGCTGGGTGACAAGGCAGTGAGGCCCCAGCTAGCCCCCTTACACCTCCCGCCCATCCCGCCCCCGCTGCCTCTCCTCCCGCCTTGTGGGTACCCGGGCCTCAACTCAGAGCCGGTCAGCCCCGCCCAAGAAGTGCGGGAGCCCCCCGCCCCACCGCCCCCACCACCCCCACCACCCCCGCCTCCCCTGTACTCCTCCTGCTCCCCCAGGGCCTCAGTGCCCGCACCCCCTTTGCCAGGCTCTAATAGCTGCAGTGAAGCACCTCCTCCCCTGCCCCCCAAGTCCCCCAGCTTCCAAGCCCAGCCGCAGAAGGCCGGTGTGCAGGCCCTGCCCGGGGCTCAGGTGCTCCTGCAGAAGAAGAGGATGGGCCGAGGCCCAGGTAAGGCAGCCGCGAGGGAACCTGGGACGTCCCAGACCTTAGGATTGTGTTTTAGACCAGAAGGATCAGTGACCCTGGAGGAGCACAATAAAACCCGTCCCTTCTATGGGACTCTATTGTCTGAGGCATTCAATTTAGAGATGGAGACCAAGGGTGGGCGAGGCTAGGAGATTTGTCAGGTCATGGGAAGATAAGCCAGGGCTTCTGGCCTTGATCCTCTTGCCATTACTATCTGTGTGCCCCTGGACAGTCATTTAGCCTCTCGTGCTTCTCTTGTCTGTACAATGGGGACAAAAAATAGTTTCTACCCCTTGGGACTGTTGTAAAGATTGAGTTCTTCTATGTGTGCACTTAGAACAGGGCCTAGCAACAGTGAGAGCTAGAAAAGAGTTACTTATTCCTACAATCAACCTTCCCATTCAAATCCATCCCTGGGGTAGAGGGCTGGTGGGTACAGCTTGTTTAGAGACTAGGCCTCTGGGTTAGTCTCTGCCTGGTTACTCCCATCTGGCTCCCGTTGAGAATCTTCCCTGTGCTTCAGTAGATGGGATTCATGTTCTGCCTTTTGGCATTTCTCCATGTGCACACACTGATGTGTGAATGCATACTAAAACACACACGCTCCCCCCACACTCACTCGTGTTCACACATATATACACACACACTGATACACACACTACCCACACATCCACACCTTCACACACTCTAATAAACACACTACCCACACACACATCCACACTTACCCACACACTGATAAACACACTACCCACACACATCCACACTTACACAAACATGCCCATCACACACACAAATGCACACATTGCCCTTGTTCTGTCAGTAATCTTTTGATGCAGGAAGTTTCTCAGATGTATTTCCTTGAGTTAAAAATAATATTAGCTCACTGTAGAGCAAATAGGAGAAAATTGAGATCCCTCATAGTAGCGTCACAGAGAGATGAAAACTGTCATTTGAATGTGCTTTCTTCAGTTTTTTCTGAATATATGTACATTTACATAGTTAATAGCACTTTGTATATAAAATTTGTTTTCTTTTACTTAATACTACTTTAAAAGCAGTTTTTTAAAATTAGTAAAACATTTATTCATATATTTACTTATAAGTAAATTATGATATTTAGATATACTATATTCTTAGTGTAAGGTATGCCAATTGATTCCATTTTTGTTATTATGAATAATTATTACAGGAAATAATTTTATAGAGATGTTAGTGTATATTTTGGATATAATAGATATACACACACACACACACACACATACATACATATAGTTGGACATGCTGGGGTTTGAACTGAGGGCCCTGTGTTTGGCAGGCAGGAGCTCTACCACTTGAGCTGTGCCCCAGTCCTTTTTTACTTATTTTTCATATAGGTCTTGTGCTTTTCACCCAGGGCAGGCCTTTGACTGCAATCCTACGTACACCTCCCTAGAAGATGGGACTCTGAGATATGTGCCACCATGCCTAACTTGTTTATTGAGAAGGGAGTCTTGCTAACTTTTTGTCCAGGCTGGCCTTGAATCATGATTCCAATCTCCACTTCTTGAATAGCTGAGATTACATGCATGAGCTACCATGCCGGCCTGGGTATTTTTTTAAGGCCGGGTTCCTTCAAGGGAATTCCTGGTACAAAGGGCAGGGCTATTTTTTAAGACTTGATCAAAAGAGATAATCATTGTCCTTTCAACAACTGATCACCAGGAAGTCCAGCATTTATAATAAGTCCTTGCTGACATTTGTGATTTTTAAATGTTCATGGTGGAGTGAAAAAACCACACTTTGGATTTGGAGGGATCTGAGTTTGAATCCTGGGTTCCCCTTCCATTCCTGTGTAATCTAATGTCAGTTGGGTATTATTTGTTAATTTCTTGACTTTTGCCTCTTGCCAAATGAGAATAATAATGACACCACCTTCCACACAGGATTGCCACAACTATTAATGCCTACAAGTAGCCAGGGCTGTAACATGTTATCTCCTTCTCCCTTCCCTTTAGGAGGGGCAGCTCCTCATCCAAAGGAGAGTCAGCAACTTCTTTAGCCCTTGGCCCCTTCAGTGGCCTCCTAGACCAAATAGAGCATTAGTGGATCCTGGTGCCTAGGAAGGGCAGACCAGAAAGGGGGAGTGAGGATGCTAGACAGGCGGAAGGATGGATGGATGCTGGGGGAGGGCAGGGGCTCCAGCAGCACAGGCCATGGACTGAACTGTTGCAGCAGGTGCACCTCTACCCGCTCCATACGCCAAACTTCCAGCCAGAACCAATGCTTGGTTGACCTCTTTGTGCCTTCAGATGGAATACTTGGTTTGTCCATGTACAAAATGAGGGTAAATTCCACTTCAGCTAATTTGGGGTATGAGGAAGAGGTGATAATTGTGAGCATCGCACAGGTAACAGAGGTGCAGTTGTCATCATGGCAAGCTGCTGAGGATGTTGGACTGTCACTGAAGAAGTAGGCAGCAAGGGAAAACCTATACTGAGGAGCCAAGATATCCAGTTGTGCTTTGCCAAGAGAGTCAGACAGAAAAATGTGGGCAGAAGACAGAGGGAGCCTCTTACCCACCTGACCAGGGAAAGCTTGGGGAAGGAGGCTGGATTTGAGTTGGGCCCTGGTGGATGAGCGGGAACAAACTCTGGTTGCTTGTTCTTCTGGCCTCCTCTGGCCCCTCACTTACAGACTTCGCTCCCTTTTTGGGTCCCCTTTTTTGGGAGGGTTATCACTGTTGTTGACATTATCATGGCAGGTACAGTTTACTGAGCACTTACGACACATCACTTGATTGAACTCGTTTAATCCTTTCAACAACCCTAGGAGGTATGTGTACTAGTACTGTTCCCACTTTACAGATGAGCAAGCTGAGACATAAAGAGGCTGTGTTACATATCCCAACAGGAGAACTGTGTTTCATTCCCAAGCATATTAGCTCCAGAGGTTACCCTTTTACTTATTGTTAAATTAGTAAGGTCTAAACACACAGCCCTTTTCACAGTTACAACATCTACTGTCCCCATTCCTGTAACTGAATGCCCTCTCATACCTCGGTAAGGGACTAGTGGGGGGAAGCTAAACCCACCTCCGGCACCGCCTGCAAGATCACCCACCACAGAGCTTTCAAGCAAGAGCCAGCAGGCCTCCACCTGGACCCCGTCCCAGCAGCCCGGAGGTCAGCTGCGAAACGGAAGCCTGCATATCATGGGTAAGTGGGGTGCACACCTCCTGACACTGCCCACCAAGGAGGATGTGAGTTCCTCTGGCCTCTGGGGAGATGGTTAACACTCCTTCCTCCTCCACAACCATGCTGTCATTTCACGGTGTGGACCTCTCAAAGAACCAGAGACTCACTCAAGAAAACAATGGCCTGTAAGCTCTGGGCAACAGCATTTCTCTCAACACCTTCTGGGTGGTTCCAGGACCCACTCCCACCCTTCTGATTCAGATTAGAGAAAGCGAAGGGAGGGGAACACAGTCAGTGTTTAAATTGTGTGTGTGTGTGTGTGTGTGTGTGTGTGTGTCTCCATGGAGAAGTTAGTCTATGAGCCTGAAAGATCAGCTTGAGTTGGATAAGGAAAAAGAATGGGTGGAAGGCTTACCAGGCAGGGAGACAATCAGAGCAAAAATATGGAGGTAAGAAGGAAAGTCACCTAGGGTCAGATGTGACCACAAAACCTCTGCATCCCTTCTGTGTGTTGTGTTACTGTCAGACATGAGGCCCAGATTAATCACAGAGCAGGAATGCAGTCCAGGAAAGGGCCACATGACCCCATCAGCAGCTCAGAGCAGAGAACCGTGCTTTGGGAAGCCCAGGTCCCACACTGGAACAAGCTGTGTCCTTTCTCACCAGCCAAGCTGAGGACTCATTTCTGCCATCTCTCCTTCCACACACCCCCAAAGCCTTCCCACCCTTGGGAGCTTAACAGGCACCTCAGGCTGCTGGTCCCTTGTTGGTTCCCCACCCCTGAATGGACTCTGGCCAGCCCTGTACCAATTCTGTGCCTTTAGTGACTTCCTTAAGACGCTGGTCGGAGTAAGTTGGGGCAGGTGTTGGGAAACGACTGGATTTCACTTCTCCTCTTCCCAGTCAAGCAGGAAAACTTGAGAGGTGGATGGATCTCTTAGGGTAATAGCCCTGCCATCAAAACCCCTTGCAGGGAACAGACAAGCAGAAAACAGAATATTCAGTCAGCAAAACCTATGTGCTCTTGGAAGTGATCACAGTTGGGTCTCAACAGTAACCTGAGTGCACTTTGCCATTTCCCATCTGTGCAGATGACTTCGAGTCTAAATTCACGTTCCATTCTGTGGAAGACTTTCCCCCTCCAGATGAATACAAACCATGCCAGAAGATTTACCCCAGCAAGCTCCCCAGAAGTAAGTACCATCTTGATGAGTCTCCTGGCTTTTTCAGACCCTCCAAAAGCACAGATTAGATAAGGATAACATCATGAATTTACTGTCCTACTGCGAGAAGGCAGTGCTGTGCATACTTCTGGAAGTTTGGAATTATTTTTGTCTTGATAGCTAAGGATTCACGGAGGTTTGTACAGAACACCACAGTTAGCTATTTGGCATCAGCTTTGGATGACTAAATTTACCGTGCAGAACTCCCCTCTGGGGCTTTTGACTAGGGAACTAAAGGACTTTTCCCCACCCCACCCCACCCCACAAAAAAAATAATAATAAACCCCAGGGAAATGGGATACAGCCATTAATAACTGGGGAAGAACTGAGTCCTCCCTCCCCAGTTCAGAATTCTGACATTTTCCATGAGATGAAAAACGTCCTTGGGCTAAAGGTTCTCAACCTTGGCTACACACTGGAATGACCTAGAAGCTTTTAAAACTCCTGCATCTCATCAGAACATCCAGGATAGAATCCAGATGTCACTGTTTCTGCAAGCTGCTAATTGATGGCCGTATATAGCCAAGGTTGAGAATCACAGCCCAGACAGAGCCTTGTTTCCTGTGTGGTCAAGTTCCAAGACAGGCCTTAGCTTGGCTTACCTGTCCAACCTGGAGAGGAGAGAAGGAGGCTGGCCAGCCTTCCCCTGGAGGCCAAAGCAGCATGGAGGCCAGAGAAAAGCAAGGGTTGATTTGTTGAGCATACGGCGCTGCTCGCTTATTACCTTGAGCTGATTTTTGTGCTATAACAGGCTGGTCAGATAGGACAGGAAGTGGTGGTGAGAGGAGGCAGTCATCAGTTTGGAATGAGAGTTGGATATGTTTCTAATTCACCACCTACATGCAAATGAAAAATCATGTGACCAGGACTGGCCCAAGACCAGGAGTGGGGCCTAGGCTCAATGACCCTGTCCTTCCAGAGGGACCTGGTAAAGTCTCTTCTGCAGGGCTCAGCTTTTGCAGGAGCTGAGTAGCTGCAGCCTGCTCCCTCAAGGCAGAACTGGTCTTGGCATTAGCCTGGGCAGAGCTCTTTCTGCTAGCACTGAAGAGAAGGGCTGTGTGCCCTTTGAATCATGTGTTCATGTGTTTGAAATCACTGTTCTAGAAAGGGGGAGGCCTGGGAAATCCCACCTCCTTGGGTTTCAATAGACCGCGAAGACACAATTTTAGGAGGGGGATAGGTGCAGTGACTCCTTGATGTCCAGCTCAGGTCAGCAAACACATAGAAATTGTCCATGGCACTACAGGGAGTGTGAAAAACAAGGTCCCTGCAACAAGTCCCTACTGTGCCTCCTGAGACAGACACATGGCAAATTAACTCTGATGTATGAGTGTCTGTAGTTATTAGAGGGTAAGGGCACCATGGTGAGAGACGTGGCAGAAATTGAGAAACCAAAGGCCTAGAGAGGTTCCGTTTCCGTATGAATAAGAAGGCACGTAGGCAATGACAATATAGACCCAGGGGAGAGCAAGACAGTGCTGGTGCATCAAGAAACCACAAGTCCCTTGCGGTGCCACAGGGCATAAGGTGCCTGGCTGGGTTGGGACGGGAGAGGTGTTAGTTGAGGAGTGTCAATAAATAGCCCCTCTTTTCTTATCTTGTGAAATATACACAGGTGTCAGAGAGATAAAGACTTCAGTGTCCAGGTTCTCAATGGGTGAAAGCACTTAGGTGTTTAGAAACAGCAGACTTCCATCAACTGCCCTCAGTGCCTGAGAACAGAAGCAAAGCTCTACCCCACTGCTGCCCCACACAGCTCACTAAGGGGGCACACATGGCAGTCTGTGCTGGGTTCCTCTCCTGTCTTGGAGAGATGTTCACATCAGAGCCCACACTAAAAGTAACCACTTGCTGTTCAAAAAGGAACAATAAAAAAAATTAAAACCAAAAACTTATTAACTGAGCTGGCATCCTACAAAGAGTAATTGCAATTTCTAAAATAAGAGAACTGTTTTGGATTAATGGCGCATCTGTGGACATGAAATACTTCAGTGGTCTCCTAGCAAAATTAAGTGAGCGTGTTCCTGCCATCTCTGTAAGCCACAGTGTAGAACTTTGTTAATGACAGCAGTGTGAGTCAACTGTGGGCTGCAGCCTATCAGATTACATTTCTCCTTCCAGTTTCTTCTTGCACACTACTGACTGCGTTCTCCAAAGTTAGAGTTCTCTGAAGCCCAGGAAACATGAGTGGTTCTCATGCTATCTAGTACTGTGTGCTTGTTCTCTGTCTCCTCCTCTTGCTTGTGTTCTCTCTGTCCTTTCTTCATATACACACATACACACACACACACACACACACACACACACACACACACACACCACACAAGTAGTCTTATGCTTAACTCTTCCAGTAGCCATATTCACTGTCTCTGCTCTGCAGGTGTTGGCTATATTTTTTTTCCCATTGGTAAAATGATTTTGTTCAGTTTTTAAATTGTTTTAAGTGCATTAGACTTCTCCATAATTTAAACACAGAGTAACCATCTAACCTGTGTTGGATGGTAGGGTAGAACTTTCCATTACTGTCTATGATTTTGAATACTCTATGTACCTCATTATAGGTGGAGTCATACACATTTGATTTTTGTTCCTAGCTTATTTCATTCAAGGTTCATCCATGTTGTAGCTTATGTTAGAATTCCCTTCCTTTTGAAGGCTAGTAATACCCATTATATTGACCACATTCTGTTTATCCCTTCATCTGTGGCTGGACATGTGGGTGCGTCCATATTTTAGCAAATGAGAATTAACGCTACTGTGATCATGAGTACACAGATACCTCTTTGCAAGACCCTGCTTTCAGTTCTTTTGGCTATATATCCTGAAGTAGGATTTTCAGGTCATATGATAATTCTGTTTTTAATTGAGGAACCACAATACTGTTTTTCATACTAGCTCTACCATTTTACAAGTACACAAGGGTTCCAATTTCTCATCAACACTTGTAACTTTCAGCTTTTTAATTTAATTTAATAGTAGTCATTCTAATGAATGTGAAGTAATATCTCATTGTAGTTCAACTCCTGTTTTAACAGTTTACACTTATAGTAGAACTAGCCACCATTATTTCCATGAGCAATGGAACTTCTCCACCAGATACTGCAGTAAACTGAACAGTATAGATTCATGTCATAAAAAATCAAAGGACTGAATGTCCAGAGAGTATAAGAATCAGTAGAAAAAGCACACTGGCAGTAGGAGAGTATTTGTTTCTGCCTTTGTGGTGGGCAGTGGGCAGTACTCTACCCGAAGGAGTTGGTTTTGGCTATTTCGGATTAGTACTGTTGGCCACACTCCTTCATAACTGTCTTCCAGCATCCTGCTGCTTTAGATCTATGTAAGTAAGTGCCAAAGAAGAAAGCTCTGGAGGAATTAGCCCATGACTTTTAGCTGTATTGACCCAAGGGTAAAAAATTGGAATTGAGGAAGGGACAGGCAGGGAAGGGTCCTTTATCTTCTTCTATATTCTTTGAATATTCTTAACTATGAGTATATGCATTCGTGTAACCTGTATCATATGGAAACACAATGTATCTTAGAGCATGAGTTGGATCCTCTTGGAACAGAAGTTTGAATTGTATCAGCAGACACTAAACTTACTGTTTTAAGGGACCCTGGGCATGGTATTTGGCTCTTGGCGGGTGACCAGAAGACGACTGTGTCTGGAGGTCAGGGTATGTGTTAATCAGAATATTTAGATGATTGGCCTTAATAATGTGTTCTCCTCAGAGTAGCAGATGTGACTCCTCTGTGCCATGGTCTGTGACCTAGTAGTCTGGTAGAAACACTGGGTTCTAGGGGTAGAAGCCGAAAGGTGTCAAGTTGATGGGCTCATGTTGCTGGGTTCCTTTGCTGATGTTTTAAGTGCAGTTTAGCAACAATCCCTGGACAGACAGATGGTGAGATTGTTTTTGTTTCTCTCAGGTCGCACACCTGGTCCCTGGCTCCAGACAGAGGCAGCTGGGCAGAACTCTGATGATATCAAAGGCAGAAATTCTCAGGTAACACCTTCCTCAAATCTCTGAATTCTCAGAAATTCTTCACAAGGAGCACAGAAATGTTAACAGCTTTCTCCTCAACAGCCTAACATGTCTGCTTACACTCCTTGTCCTCAAGAAAGCTATTTGGTATACCTTTGTTTCAGGCCATAATAAAGCAGTTTCAAAATTAGAATAAAAGGCTTCTCTGAATCACCACCACAAACAAAAGCAAGTTCGGCCACTCAGAACCCCTTAAATTGTTTATGCAGTAATCATCTCCATCATCCCAATTCTTCCCTGGTCTGAGAAGCCTGTGAGAAAAACACTATACCATTTATAAAATGTAATTCAGTGCTCATTCTCATCTGTAAAATACCTAGTTTCTTTTAGCACCCTTTGGATTTTTTCCTCCATCAATATTATAATTGATTTTGGCCAAATTTAATCACAATTCAAGAGCTGGTGGCCACAGGAAATTGACAAAGCTGGGAGGGAAACAAGACAAGTGCTTGGGTGATAAGAGTCTTCAAAGAAATGCCCTTGCTGTCACCAGGGACAACTTAGAAGTGTTTCCTAACCTGGGCAGAAGTGATGTCTCTTACTGCAGGTGATAAAATCTCATCTTTAAACATCCTTTGTTTCTTTGAAAACATGCATTCAGTCCTAGCCTGGCCTCTTCCTATTTCAGAGTTCTGTGTAACAGACAACTGGCTGGCTTTTTAAACTTGGCCATTCTGCAGCTATGTGGAACTTCAAGGAAAGTGACCTGAGAAAGGAGAGACTAGATTCCTGAAAGCTAGGATAGTCCCATGCAAAGGAGATACTTTCTCTAGCAGACAAGCACCTACTTTTCTAGCCACAGATCTTCCAAGAATTGCAATAAACACTCTCGGCTGCTTATAGGTTCAAAATATATAGTTGTTGTTAAGTATATGTACATCAGGAAAAAAAAGAGGAAGGATATATGCAAAATTATTAATACGGGGAGAGAGTTCTAGGAAGGTCAAAAGCACCAGGAATCTGTCTCCTCATCGAGGCAACACTTGCACTGGCAGAATCTGTCTGATGAACAATCTTGGAATTCTGGGGTCTGTGGAAGGCTTGCAATGTCCAGAGAAGGCTTGGACAATAAATTGCAGTGATTTTGGTCAATTTCAACTCTTAACACAGTAGCAGCTATAAACCCCCACCCTTAACCCCATGGCAGCAGCTATGCATGTGTTCCTGGACCAGCCTGTACATGGCTTGTGGCGGATAAGATGGGAAACAAACCAAAACAACAATAAATTGTCCTTCGAGTGTTGGAGATCGTGCTGCTTCTGATCTCAGTGATGCAGACACACAGGGGTCTTTGTTGCACCGCCCCCCCTCCCCTTCTGGCTGAAGTGACTTCCAGAGAATTTTTTTTCCTTTTCTTCATGTTTCTCTGTTTTCTCTTTTGTGTGCCAGACATTAAAGACTAGGCCATTTGAAGGTAGCTTCACACGTAGGGGAAACTAGATAGATAGGTCTGCCAGAGAAAGGTTCAGGAAATACCCGAGAAGACCTCACGTTTACATCCCAGGCTGATTCTTGGCACAAAGACAACTTACAACAATCAAAGAATAAATAAGTAAACAAATAATCAAAAAGACCCTAAGAAACTCTAAGGAAGGGGAATAAAGCAAATTTCCAGGGTTACTGCATTTTTTATTCAAATGCACAGTTTTCAACAGGAAATCACAAATTCATGAAAAGAAATAGAAAAGTACAGCCCATTCAAAGAAAATAAATTTTAAAAAATCAACAAAAACTATCCCTTAAAAAGATTTAATGGTAAATCTACCAGACAGAGACTTTATAACAGTTGTCTTGAAGATGTTCAAAGAACTAGGGGAAGATGTAGAGAAAGCCAAGAAAACGAATATTATCAAAATAGAAATATCAGTAAAGAGACGTAAAAAAAAAATCTAAAGCCGAAAAATACAACTGAAATGAAAAATTAACTAGAGAAAATAAAAGTAGATTTAAACCAGCAGAAGACAACTTGAAGACAAGATAGTCAAACTTACTGAGTCTGAAGAACAGAAAGAGAAGATTAAAAGTGAGCAGAGCCTAAGAGAGCTGTGGGGCACCATCTATATATTTCTTGTGGATTTCCAGAAAGAGAGAAGAGAAGGAGTAGATAGAACATTTGAAGAAATGATACCCAAAGGGCTGGAAGAGTAGCTCAAGTGGTAGACAGCCTGCCTAGCAAGTGTGAGGCCCTGAGTTCAAACTCCAGTACTGCCAAAAGGAAAAGAAAGAAAGAATACCTAAAAACTTTCCAAATTTGACAAAGACATGAATATAAACATTCAAGAAGGTCAGTAAACTCTAAGATGAACTGAAAGCACCTTACACCAAGACACACTATATAATCAAACATTTGAAGAACAGAGAATCTTGAACGCAGCCAGAGACAATTAACTTGTTACACATAAGGACTCCTAACAAGATTATCAGCAGATTTCTCATCAGAACATCAGAGAAGAGAATGTAGTAGACCGATATATTCAGTGTTAAAAGAAAAATCTGTTAACCAAGGATCCTCTGTCTGGCAGAACTCTTTCAAAAAGGAGGACGGAGCTGGGCATGATGGCATTCATCTGTAATCCCAGCGCTCGGGACTGAGGAAGAAGGATCACAAGTGCTAGGTCACCGTGGGCTATGCATCAAGACCCTGTCTCAAAACAGTGAGGGAGAAAATAATACACTCACAGATAAACAAAATCTAGGGGAGTTTATTCTCATTAGACCTGTCCTGCTATCTTAGCTTTCAGGCATCTAGTCCCTTCCTTCTCGGGTCACCTTCCTTGATGTTCCATACAGCTATAGAATGGCCCAGTTTAAACATGGGCTTTGTAAGACTATCACTATTGTTACTTTCTTTCTACTGCAATTTTGCAATTTCTGTATTTTTCTACAATGAATATATTACTCTTATGATCAGAAAAATACAATAATCATCATAGTTCTTATACATATGAAGCTCCTTACATTTTTCAGCTAGCTTGTGAACATATGTCCTTTAATGCTATTTTTTCAAAAGAGGAAACTGTGCTCCTGAAAGTTGAACTTGCTCAAGGTCACATGCCCAGACCTTGTGACCTCTGTCCGGTGCTCCTACCCCTATGCCTCGTTGCTTTTCCTGACATGTTAGACTCTCCAGGAATGAGTCATCCTCACCATCAATGCAGCAAGGCTGTGTGGGACATTGTGCAGGATTTGATCCCCAGCTCATGACAAGCATACACCTGAATCACCCTAGAATGATTTTTATCTTTGTTCATGTCAGTCCAGTCAAGGATGGATTGTAAAGCCAGGCGTGATGGTCCACACCTGCAATCTCAGCTACTTGGGAGGCAGAGGCAGGAGCAGAGCCAGTTCGAGGCTAGCCCAGGCAGTTTATGAAACCCTGTCTAAAAAACAAAAACAAAAGATTTAGGGACATCGCTGAAATGTGGAGCACTTGCCTAGCATGCATGAAGCTCTAGGTTAAATCCCCAGCATTGGGGAGACAGAGAGAGGGTAGGGGAGGAAGTTATGGATAAATTGTAAAGTCTCCTTTGGGCAACGCACAGTCAAGATCTTTTACTTCTCATTGGCGACCATCTTAATTCATTTTTACTGCATTGAAACACAAAGCAGTGCCCAAAGAAATCACTGGGCTCTATCAGCAGGTAATGACTCGGGGAGTGCTCTCTGCTTTGAGGATATGGTGGACAATGCATGGTGTAAGCTCTGGAATGGAAGTCTAGGGTCTGGGTCCCTTCCCTCCTTGGCATTGCCTTGGTCTGGTCTCTCCAGCATGTTCTTTGCTTTCCTTGATCTTTCTGCCAGCTGAATTATTTATGTTTGGTCCTATAAATGTTTATAAGATAGCACTGGGGGGCTGTGATGTAGCTCAGTGACAGACCACTTGTCTAGCATGCACAAGGCCCTGGATTCAATCCCCAGGACTGAAAAAAATATACATTATGGGCTGGAGGCATGGCTCAAGCAGTAGAGCACCTGCCTAGCAGGCACGAAGCCCAGAGTTCAAACCCCAGTATCACCACCAAAAAAAAAGACAGCTTCATGTCCACTTTACCTGTTTCTCTGCCCTTTCCCATTTGGGTAAAAATCAGCTCCATGCATATGATGAGACAATCTCCCTGACCTTGGCCTTTCATGAATAAGAAAAAAAACTGTGGTTCTCAACCCTGGCAGGTCTTTTATGTGCAGTGAGTATTCTCACCCTATCCAGTAACATTTCTCTCATTTTTCCACAGTTATCTCTAAAGACACTGCGGTGAGATGCTGGATGAAGCCAGAGTCCTGGGGTTCCGCATGCAGGATAGGCACCCCAGGGGAATGTGTCAGACTCCATACTCAAGCTGTATTCAGTTGACATACAGGCTTTCTGAATGGAGCACTTATTTATTGTAAAAACATGGTTTGCACGGGCTTTTAGAGCATTTTAGACAACTTTTATTTGAGTAATATTTTTAAAGACACCAGTTCTCCAATTTTTTTTTAAGCTTCTTGGCATTCTTCCCTCTGTACAGGTAGAGCCCTGTCCCACACATTGTGCCCATTCTGTGACTTTACATGTGCTTGTGGCCTGGCCCTTTCTAGATTCTGAACTGTTTTTAGAGCGTCCTTAGCTTGCAGGTAGTCCTAAGTCATAAGTATCCACATGGCTTCTTATTGGCATGACTTTATATTCTCATCACAACAACCACAAAAGCAAACCAAATAATGCCTTATAAAAGATGCAGCTCAGAGGAAGTAGTGTGTCCCCGACATCTGACAGTGCCGTGCAACCTCCAGTGAGCAAGACGCCATGTCTCGCTTCCATTTTGCAGTACAGGGATGTCTTTTTGCTGCTTGATGTAAATATATTGCAACGCAAAGGCAAAAGTGGGCTTGGTCCCTCCCTTGCCTTCCGCAGGGCCCCTTTTGTAACTGAATTCCTACAAGTAGCCAATGCTCTTACTGTTTACAGTGTCCCTAGCACCCATGTCTCTGTCACTTTCCTCTTATCCCTCTAAGTTCCCGGCCTCATCCTGGTAGTAGCCAGGGTGAGATCAGCTTTATGAGATTTTGGTACTTTTTGTCCCTCTGAAGATTACAAACATACACAACTTCACGATGACAGTAAACTACTAATTGCATCTCAGAGGTCTCCCTCCCCAACCCCCATCTCCAGTAAAGGATTTCCATGCGAAATATGACACCAAAAAGTGTAGAATGAAACATCTCATGAAGTACATGTCTCAAATATCTGGCCACACTCCAACCCTTTAGAAATTTGGGAACATCCATCAGGCAAACAGAGCTCCCTTCTAAGTTGAAGAAGGGCACAACTGGCTTAACCACTCCCCTCGTCTATACTGGGCCCCAAGAGCAGGTGGCAGAGGGTCAATGTGTGTAGCACGTTCAGCCACCCCAAATGTGGAAAGGGTCAAGCCATGCTGGGGCTGCTGCTCACACCCTTTCCTTGTGCCTCCAAGAGTGAAAGTATCCAAGTACTCCCCATCCGTGGAGGAGGAAGGCTGTGGCAGAGGAGGGAGAGAATGTAGAAGGGAACAGACTGATCCTCAGGCTGGGCTCAAAATAGCTACAGATTAAAGGAAATCAGGGAGGGAAAGCAGTGAATGATAATTTGCTTCAGAACAACCCACTCATGCGGTCATACCTTAAGCACATCAACCCCAGGTCAAGCCATCCAGAAAAGATGGACATGGAGAGAGGCCAGCCAATGTGACTGCAGACACTTGTCTGTTATCTGGAACAAAGACTGACCTCTTACATCAGTGTTGTGCTTTCTAGGTCCACATAGGAGAAACAGCCAGGGTCAAGTTCCCTTCTTCGGGGGATGACTCAGGACAATTGTAACAGCTTAATCAACAGAAGGGAAGCTTCTGAAGGCCTTTTGAATTATTTATTTGTTGTATTGTTTCTGGAAGATTTCCAAAAGGTCAGAATTTATTCTAACAATATACACTCCATCTTCCTCCCAGTTGTGTAAAATAATTATAAAAGCTTTAATTGTCATAATGAAGAAGACCCCAAGCAAGGGTAATCCACCTTTGGAGTAGATTGCCCTGAGGAGGTGGCCACAGGTTCACATTCTGCACTGCTGGGATGAAAATGAAAAATAAAACTCTCAAGGGCAGAGGGAAGGAAGGAGCAAAAACCAAAAATAGCATGTAGGGAGAAATCTCAGGAATATGGCATCACATGTTTCCTCAAGACCTACCGCTGAACCCACAACCCTCTGAGCTCATGCTCCTGCATGGTTCCCTCTGGCAGGGTATAGACCAAGCCCTTGTCCATGAACTCTCACTCACAGGCCTCCCTGCCATCCTCACTTCCTCTCACTGACGCTAGTCTATGACTCTCCCAATGTTTCATCTGTATTTTATATTTATGTCTCCCTCTGCAGATTCATTCCTTTGTACCTAATAAACTTTAATAAGTGGAAGTGCTTCTGGTCATTTCCTTATGCAGCCCATCTGCTATCCCTCATACTAATCTAAGTGAAATTTTTGTAATTGACATGAAGTAACTGTACCTATTATAGGATACAGTGTGGTGTTGCAGTATATGTATACAAATATGCAAGGATCAAACTTGAGTACTAAGCCACACCTATTTAAGGATTGGGAGGAGTTCTAAGCATGCCAGGGAAAAACGGATATTTACACAGATCTGTACATGCTGTAACCTACTATTTTAGAAAGAGGGCTATGAGTACTCTTTTCAGCAGACTAACAACGTGTATAGAAAAGCCAAGCAAAAGAAAAGAAAACTTGGTTTCAGACGCATTTTTTAAAGTAGGTAAGTTTATCAGCTTTATAACTGTAAAATGGCCAGAGTGCATTGCTTATAAATTCTGCTAACTTGTGTTGAAATGGAGCAACTTTCAACCAAAAGTGTGCTTAGTCCACCTCCCATAATTCAGCAAACCCCTCAAAAATAGATGCCTGCGTGAAGCAGAGTCATCTCAACCTCCACCATGTTTTACGTGGACACAGGCACCTGGTAAGAGATATTTATCTGCTGGTTGAGCTGGCTCAGACTTAGAGCTTGGAAGGCAAATGTGGATTTGAATCTCTAGTTTGTCTCTTAGGAGTTTGGAAAAGTAAATTACTTAGTCAACCCTTCAGTTTCTTCATCTGTCAAATGGGGACAAAAATGTGCACCTAGTTACAGTAGTGAAGACACATGGGAAATCCCTGAACCCTTGGGTCACTTCATAGCTAGGTAAGGACACTCCACACTCTGGGGAGCAACCAGTTTGCGGGTTCGAGACTCAGTTACAAGCAGGCCTTCATTTAAGCCTTTGCTGAGTAGCTCCAGCCATATTTCACTAACTGCAGAGTCAGAGGGGTAATTAAAATTCATAGATGTTCCAAAAATAAATCTCATCTAGACACTAATTTTAAAATTAGCCACTATATACTTTGCATCTGAATGAGTTAAGAAGCTGACTGGTTTTGTCTGCTCCCATATTGGTGGAGGACACAAAAACTCTTTAATGATCAAAAGGGCCAATGTGAGTAGGGAAGAAAAGCAAGGACCCAAAATGACTTATAAAGTAGATGATGAACTTTGGAGTCACTGACCATGGTGGGTAGTAAAGGAGCTGTAATTTTAGGTACCTCTCACAGAGTTAAGAATGGAGAGGAAGCCCCCAGAGAGATGAAAGGAGTAGCTTAATAGGAAGGGCTATAGACTCCAGGTGTGTGTAAGTCACTTTTAGTTATCTTGACAAGATACCTGAGAAAATAACTTAAGAGAGGAGAATTTATTTTGGTTCCCAGTTTTAGAGGTTTCAGTCCATCACTGGCTGGCTCCATTACTTTTGGCATGAGGTGAAGCAGAATATCACAGCAGAGAGGGAGCGATGGAGCAGAGTTTCGTACCTCATGGCAACTAAAAAGCAGCAAGAAGAGCATCCAAAAAGAGCAAGGAAGAGACCAGAGACAAGATACAACTGTCAAAGACACACCCCCACTTCCTCCAATAAGGTTCTACCTTCCCCTATTTCCACCACGTCACAGTATTCCAGTCAATCATAAATCCATCAACCAATTAATCCATTGATAAGTCAGAGTAATCATGATTCAATCACCTCTCAGTAACTGGATACACCTGCTGAGGACCAACTCATTAACACATGAGCCTTCATATCCAAACCATAACAAGGAGCAAGTTCCAAATTCTCAGACTGTGCCCCAAGAGGCTTTGGCAGTTTTCATAAACCAATTCTGTTATGGGTTGAATTGTGCCCCCTATCCAATCTTATATTGATGTTGTAACCCCCTGCATGTCAGAATGTGACCTTATTTGGAAATAAGGTCATTACAGATACTTAAAACAAGGTCACACTGGAGTAGAGTGGCCCCAAATCCAGTATGACTGGTATCCTTATTAAAAGGGGAAAATTGGACATGATCGTTCACACAGGGAGAGTGTGATGTGAAGAGGAAGGCAGAGACTGGAGTGATACCTAAGATGCCAGCTAAGCAGCAAAAGCTAGGTAAGAGGCATGAACGAGTTCCCCTCATAGCCCTCAGAAAGAACCAAGGGCTTGAACTCGATCCTGAACTTTAAAGAGAGGAAACTTGATCTTGAACATGTAGACTCCAAACTGTGTGACAGTAAATTTCTCCTAGTTACATCACCCAGTTTGTGGTATTTTTGTTACATCAGCCCTAGCAAACGAATACATACTCTGTCACCTTGGAGTTTTGCATGTTTATGGGGAAAAAAAGGCTGAGACTAATGTTAAAGAATTAGCAGTTCTTTCTCCTGCAAACAGAGCAATCTTCCAGTCTAACCTTGGCACAGGTCACTTGCTTCGAGCTTCTAAGTCCTAATCTCCTAAATAAGACATCAGTTCCATTTTGCCTGTCACAAGAGTGAAAGAGCAGGCTTTTCTCTTAAGTGACATTCTCCTGTTGTGGAGTTGCTAAAGCTTTAAAAGAGGCTTGGCATAGCACCAGCCATTCTGATAACCTCTAGATTTCTAATTTCTAGTATGGATTTTTAATTTTAAAAAAACCTTGGTGAAATGTACAGCATTAAATTCATCATCTTAACCATCTTAGTGTTCAATATTGTACATCTACATTGTTGTACAGGATACCTATCACCACCATCCATGATGAAAGAAGTGTTTTCATCTTGCATAAATGAAACTCTATATCATTGAACAATAATTCCATACTTCCCCTCCCCCAAGCCCATAAATTTGACTATTCTAGACACTTCACGTACATGGAATTATATCCTCTTGTGACTAGTTCGTTTCACTCAGCATAATGCCCTGAACTGCCCATACATATTGTATTGTCAGAATGTCCTTCCCCTCTTTAAGGTTGAATAATATTCCATTATATGGATATGTCACATTTTGTCTATCCATCTATCTATGGATACTTGCTTCCACCTTTTAGCTATTGTGTATGAGGCAAGTTGGAAACTGTGTGCACAAGTATCTCTTCCAGATCCTGTTTTCAATTCTTTTGTGCATATACTTACGTGGAATTGTTGGGTCATAGTTCTAGTTGTAATTTTTTGAGCCACCTCTATATTGTTTTCCACAATGGGCATACCATTTTACGTTCCCACCAACAGTGCACAAGGGTCCCAGTTTCTCCACATCTAACACTTGTTATTTTCATTGTTTTAGTCCCTGTCTTGATGGATCTGAATTGGCAGCTCATTATAGTTTTGGGGTTATTTTTAACAAGTGAATTAATCCAAAGGATGATACATAATGCAGAAAATTGCAGAACTGGTTGAGTTTTCTGAATATCTCAGTCAGAAAAACATATCCTCTCTCACACATTTTTCTGTGCTGTGACTGATGCCAGCATCTACTCATGGAACACATGATAGAAGAGGCCACTGGACATTAATTGCAGTATTTTTATTGTATGTTTGATGCATTTAGAGACAATTCCAAGGGCAAGCACTGGATAGGGAAATTATCTGGTTTGTAGATATTTGTACAAAAGACTGTTAAGACTACATAGTCAAGTCCCGACACAGGAAACAGAAATGTTTTCTTTCATATTATTCCCTGCCAATATCATTTTCCAGCTAATACATTTAGATTCTCACAACATGATTGCAAACAAAGTATACACTGGTTCCCACAAGAATTCTGTGTATGACATTTCGAGATGGTTGGTGTCAATCAGATAAAGCACATTTGACACATACCATAGAAGGGGAGTGGGGACTTGGGACTGTGCAGGATGAAATGCCACACGAAATGCCACACCTACAGGAAGCATAAGGTAGTGCTGAGACAACAGGACAGGTGACCTGCCACACCTCCTCCTCCTGCACATAAGCATGGCCTGTGAAACAGGTCCCCTCCCTTCCCCCCACCCCATGCTTTCTCCTAAGGCTGAGAGCACAGCTGAAGGTCTTTCCAAAAAAGGGTCACAGCTCTTCATTTGCCTCGTTGATGATTATTTTTGTATACCTAATGATTCACCCAGTATTAAAGCAACTTCACCACTAAGATCCAATAGGCATATACCCATCCTGTTAGTTACGTAAAGTAGACTCCTAAAAATGACCCTGGGTCTTCAATTTTGGGTGCTAAGGGATACCTGTAATTTTTATTATATCCTTATTCTACCTAACGGTGCAAGCCACCTTCAAGAAAGAGGACTGTTCCTGCTTTGTTAATTTACTTTCACTGGAGCATCTGTCCTTGTGCTTGAGGGATGTTTTTACCCATGGTAAACCCCATTTACTAGACAAGGCTGATTCAGGTTATAAGGGGATATGGGAGAGAGATATATCCTTTAGAGCCATGATGACTTCTTTCTGCACAAAGCATGCACAGGTGCACCCCCTCCCCCGCATAATAGACACGCAAATGGTATTTCTAGAAGGCTATTTACACTCAGTGACCTTTAAACTACTTCATCCTAATATTCATTTTTTTTTCATGTTGCCTTCAAAAAAGCAATTCCTGACCAAGAAATTATCCATATAAGTTTTTCAAAGCAAAGTCTGCTATGAGCATTTCAAAGTGAACATCCTTCCCACAGCTGTCTACTCAAAATTCAACATACTTCAAGCTGTTCATTTAAGTGGATGAAAGTGTAAGCAGTCACATCACTTCTGGTCTTTCCCCACCCATTCCAAGCACAAAGAACCTGTCCACTGCTATTATCTGGGTTTTGACAGTGTACAGACCACCTCCATTGCCTGGTGGGATAAACCAGACCCAGTTTAACTTCCAGGCTGTGCATGGAGGGGCCACCACATCCTCTAGCGTTAAGACAAAGAGATCACCACTGTGATGTGCAGTGCCAGCCAAGACAGCTCTCAAGGAGAACTGACCCTTCTCTGCAATGCTTGACAAAAGTCAGTGTCCAACAGCAGAAGTAGCATTGTGTTTCCACCTCATGACTGGACATTGACATCAAGTTGTCAGGGATATCTGTGTCCTTGGCCACAGTAATGAAAGAAGGACCCTATGTAATTTATGCTTACTACACTTCTCTGACCAAACCCTGAATCACCTTCGCTGTCTCAGACACATCAGATCTATGAAATGTCTTCCTAACAAGTGAAGATGAGACCACACAGTGAAATCTTACAATGGCTTTCTGCAACATTTGTTTTAAATAATGCTGCAGGTGGACTTGGGCGTGGATAGGTACCTACATCCTCCTTAAATGTCAGCCTTCCCCCTTACCTGCTGTAGACACCTTCAGATTGGCTGCTCTACCTGAGACCCTCAATTCATCAACAGTGGAAACCAGAGGACACCTGCCCAAAGCACTTAACACTACAAGCCACCACTACCGATTGCTATGAACTTTAGAGCTAAAATCTTCTATACATTTCTCAACCATTTGTGATCAAGACTTCGAAGTAAAAAGCTCACAGCATACCTACACCTACCCACAACCACTCTTAAGGAAGCAGGGTAGAAAAAAAAGATAAGCTCCAATAAAAACCCCTGATCCTCAATGTTCACATCCACGTAAGGAGGGGCTGGGTCCCTGCCAGTTCTCACAGCCTGTGGTAATGCTGCTGAGAAGGAGTTTCTAGCCCTAAGACTACTGATACAATATTCCCATTTGCAGATTCCTGTCAAGGATAGGGAAGCATAATTAGGTCCAATGGCACTTTCCCACTCGCTTCTCTATTAATATAAACTTCCACTGTGTCATCTCTGCTCTACTTGTCAGCTCAGAGGTGGTACAGAGTTCCAATAGATGGAGGTAAGCACTCCTTCCCCTCCCCTCCCACCTGTGTCAGCCACCCATCTGCAGGCAACTGCTGGCAGATTGGGCAAGAGGACAGCTGCTTCACATGCTGATCTGCGGGATCTAACAGGAGCAGGAGGGGCAGAGCTGGAATGTCACCCTAAGAAAAAATGCTTCCACATCCGTCTGTTGCCCTCTTGCCCCTGCCATCCCAGCACTAAACCCACTGGGTCTTTCTTGCACACTTTCTGTCCTCTACTGATGAGTCAACTCCTTTATGTGAACACAGTCTTGGAAACAAATCAGCTAGACTACAGTGTCTCTGCTGAGAAAAAGTAGTGAGTGTTAGAATTACAGCTACTTTACCTGCAGTCTCAATAGTCAAGAGTTTCTCATTTTCTCTCCCTCATTAGCTGGGAATCACAGCTATGTGGGGTGGTACCATGCCACAAGGCCATTTAATGAAATCCTAGGCTAGTTGTGTAGGGAGAGCAATCACCTCTGGGGAAAGCCACATGGTGACTCAGGAAGCCACTGGCATAGCTGTCTTGGAATCTCTAAGGTGGGTACATTCCAGCTAACACCAATGCCCAGCTCCTATGCCTGTGGAAAGCAAGTCTGGACCTACTGAACATGGGCACAGTGCATGGAAGACAAGTCCTTCAGGGTCACAGGCACTGGGATAGAGCTGGGACTGCAGAAAAGCCCCCTTGTTCCTTCCCAGTGGCTTTGTTCCCCAGGACACACGTGTGGGGACTGTGTTCCAGCAAAGAGGTTCTCTCTGACTACACACACAAGGGCCCTGTGTGCAGACAAATGCTTGTTAACCTGGGAGAAACCAGTATGGAGAGAAAGACTAAAACTTCAAAAATGGTTACTTTTCCCACCAATTCAGTCCCCTCTTAGGAAGCTAATGTGTCTATTGTCATGGGAATACAAGAAGAGCAGCTTCAAATCCATAATTTGTCACACAACTGAACAACAGGCAAGGAAGACACAGTTACATAGCAAAGGAAGGGACCTATGCAGCAGAGAAGGGGATGTTTAGAGACACAGGGGATAAGCTGGATTTGGCTTCAGAAAAGGAGGCTACATGGTAACTTTCTCATTTTACTCAAACAGGAGAGTGGTTGTTCTGCTGGTAATTTAGTCAGGTGGGAAGTTGGAAATAAGAAGAGGGAGGGGAGGTATACTTCACTTAAAGAACTTAATCTCCGTGTCGACACAGTCATAGAAAAGGTCCCCCACCTCAGCGGGGTCCAGGGGGTCAGGGCTGCTCAGGATTTCTTCCATGGCTTCCAGGCCTTGCTTCTCCAGCTCCAGCATGGTCTTTCTCAGTGTGCGGCCTTGCTCCTGAGGAAAGATAAGGACACTTCACATATCAGCAAAACAGTGGGGGTTGTTGCAATGGACACTGCCCACTGTCCTGCCCACTCCTTCTAATCTCATCCCACAAGATTGCCACAGAGACTGTTCTAGAACATGGTTATGTTACTAGCCTGCTCAGGACACTTACACAGCTCCAACTGCTTTCAGGATAGCAGTAACATTCATGGAAGGTCTTGGTCTTGCTCACCTATTCTCTAGCCAGGCATTTCCTTCTCCCTTTTTTTTGGCTGCACTGGGGTTTGAACTAGGCCTTCATGCTTGCTAGGCAAGTGCTTTTATGGCTTGAGCCCCTCCACCAGCGCCATCTACCCCCTCTTCAGCCAAACCGAATAAACTGCATTCCTCCATCCCATGATACTCTTTCTTGCTACTGCAAGGTGACACTGTCCTCTGGAGGACTTTTCCCTGCCTCATTGCTTGGGCAACTTGTGCCTATCTTCAGATCTTGTGGGAAGGCTTTTCCTCCGGACATCCATGACACAATCCCTACATCCCTGCCATGGTCACCACACTCCATCTTGTGATGGCTGATCTACATGGCTGTGTGCCTCATTACACTATGATCTTCTGGGCAGCAACAACGGGGCTTATCTTTGCCCTCTAATGACTGAAACATAGTGGTCATTCTCAAAAGGTGTTTATTGAAGGAATAAATGGCTCACTGAATAAACACATGCCATGTCTATCCTCCAGTCACTCTTTTTCTGAGATGGTGAAAGCTCTTCTTCCAAGTGGGACTCTCATTTACAGCACACAACAGAGAAAGCTTTCATCATTCCAAGATGTCCCAGAACTAAGAAGTTGCTCTTCCCTTCTGTCCACCACTTCCTACTGCTGCCTTGACTCAAACCAAGTCATTTCTAAATGTCAAAACCCTCCAACCTCATCAGTCCATCTCTGAACACAACCCTTCCTACCCAGTTTGTTGCCCAGTATCCACAAAAGCAGACCACATGGAATGACATTTTTAGTCTTCTTGAGGCTTACAGTCACCCACTTTGAAAATAATCACTGTCAGGAACTAATCTGGACATTCCTGAATAAAAACTCAGTTTAATGCAGCAAAGCATTCATGGTTTGAGGGGAATGTCTGGCAAGAGAGGAACCAAAATAAAATAACCATGTGACTTCCACATGTCCAATAGCCAATTCTGTAGAAAAGAAGGGCAAGTACTACAAAAAATGAGAATGCCTTTCTCAGATGTATCTTCTGAATTCATCTGGATTTCCTGTTGGTTTTGCCCTTTATATATGTACATATATATGTATTTAGATTGTCCACCATGCCAAATATAAGAAAAAAGCTTGCCTATGCCACCAATTTATCTGATAGGTGTCTCTTGTTCTCAAGCAAATTACACCTATAGAAAGTCATTGCATCAATGCTTAGAGAAGCAGATGAATGCCTCACAACCACAATTCTCCTTCCTTCCTGCAGTAAAATATAGGCTTGGATTTTATATGAAAATTTAGCACTAATGGTTGTTGTGGGCATTGACTGTGTGCTGGGGAACATAGGCGGGGTGTTTTTCTTATTTGAATTGATATCTTTTAACTTTATTAACCAAAGCTTGGTAGGTGGGAAAAACACATTTTGAGGTTTTAAAACAAACTGAGAACTTGAGAATCATTTTTTTTTGAAAACTCCATTTGTATTATGATAAAATATTCATAACATAAAATTTACTCTTTTAACAATTTTTAAATATACAACTGTTTAGTACATCCACACTGTTTTTGCAATCATCACTACCATCCACCTCCAAAACTTTTTTTGATGAATTACTTTCTTGAAATGGCATGACTGAATCTTTAAATAAAGGATTACTACCAAGTACAGTTTCTTATCCCCAAAGAATTTTAGATAGCACATAAGCAGTCATCCCTACTAGAACTTACATCTCTATTTCTCCTAAGGAAACAGGTGTGTCTTAGCCCACTGAGTTCGAGAATAACATCAAAAGTAGAGGCTTGGTTTTATTTGGTTTCAGGAGACTGGGTAAGACAATGAATACCAGGAAAAGGGTCCAGAAAAGCACTCTGAAACTGGCTTTCTGTGAGATACTGGTAAAACATGAAAGGAAGGAACTGAGCTTGCTAGCTGCTTCCCTGACCCTCTCTTGTTGACTTTAACACCCTCCCTGGCCCTCACCCAGCCTCACCTGGTCACTTTCAATGACGGCACGTGCCCACTCGTGGGCCTTGTACAGCTCATGCCGGCGGTCTGGTTTCTCCTGGAACCGAGGCTCCTTTTTGGCAGGATCGTCATCCCCAAAACAGGGAGACTGTGCTTTAGGGACAAGTTTTACATCGTCAACAAAGATGAAAGGCTTGAATATGGACCTGGAGAAAAAGGAGAGCCACTTCAGCCACACTGAGCTTGGGGCCTGAGGACACTCAGGCAATTGTTCTTCTATTTGGCAAACACTTTCTGAGCCAAGTTGGGTGGTGGGTAGTGGGTGGTGGGTGGGTACAGGCCATGAGAAACACAACTGCATGTCTGAGTAGCTATTTCAGTAAAACTAGCATCCATTTGTAAGCTGTAAATTCTACTTACAGCAAGGAGACATCAAAACAGACTTTCTCTGTTCTGGAAAGACCACATGAGAAGCCCCTTTTAGTTGCATAAAGTAAGGCAAGTAGACATGCAGGTTGTGGGACGAGGATCTTTAAAAAAAGGAGTGCCATTGAGTACAGTTTTACCCCATCTATCTGAGTTGAAGGAGGCGCTCCCCTTTCTCTCCTAGACAGGATCCTGTGTTTTTGTTATTGAGGTTCTACCTTATTGAAAAATCCTTGTGGTATCTCACAGACTCAAGAAAGACAGAGTAAGACCGATGTCAGCAAAGGATCCTGGAAGCCCCAGAGGGAGCATGACTGAGAAGCAGAAGTCTGATTGTATGCTAATGCTAGTGCTGGCTTAGCAGGCGGCCAATACCCCTTATTCTTTTTCACTCAGTTCTTCTGGCAGGATGGACATAGCTTAGGGGAAATGGCTGTGTGCAGGCTTGCACAAGCACCACACACACACACACACGCATGCGCACATGAGTCTTACATGTAGAGTTGTGGCCCAGACCACAGGGTAAGTGGAAACCCACAATGAACTAACACTTTAAAAAGAGCCTTTTTCTCTATTTTAAACCCAGAGAAAGCAGTGCTGGGACAAAGAGGCACTCATTCATAGCAGGCACAGGCACCACTGGGCCTGAGGGTGTCTATTGTCAGCCACACGGACAGTCCCTGCAATAAGGACAGGGAGAAGTCCCTCACACCCTATGTGTGGTTATCAATTTGTCTGTCTGATGTGGACATTTTTTTCTCCTCTCAAAGTGTGTACCTTGGCACACTCCAAGCAGCCTCAGACTGGGTTAGAAGTGAGCTGGGATGTTGACTTCTTCATCTCTTAGGTGTGCGGGGCTTAGGGCAGTCAGAGCACCCTTGCCAGTGTGTCACACAAGTATTTTTATGTGCACCATGTTCTAAAAAGGACTGGAAACCTGTCGCCCTAGTGACTTTGGTCGTGCCCTTAGACTTGCAGCATCAGCATCACTGAAGAACATCAGGCTTCACCCCTTCCTGCTGAATCAGAATCTGCACTGTAACAAGGCCAAAGGTCATTTATAACACCCCTATCTAAGGAGCACTGAGAAGGAACCTCTAGGCTAGTTCACTGAGGCCACCATGGGGAAGAGCACTCAACAGAGGAAAGACACTGGTCACAACATGCTAAACTGGAGTCCAGACTAATTTGAACTGAATGTCAAAAGTAGTGAGACCTTTGTGTCCCAAGCTGTGAGTGAGTGGTGCTAGTTAAGAACGAGTTGGGCCCTCTGCCATGTCCTCCCTAGTTGATGTACAAACATCTCGTATGCACAGAAGACTGGACATCCTCAGCCCTATCTCTGGGGAGTATAAGGCATGCCAGGTTGGGCTGTCCCAAAGCCCTTCTCTCCTCAGCCATCATCAAGAAGTCCCCCAAGAACACGCTTCCACTTCTACAGCTTCTTGGAAATAGATCAATCTTTCCCCTACTACTGACTGTTAGAGTGAAAAAGGAATTAATGCAAATGCCAAACTGCTAAACCAATTTTGATACCTGGGAAGGGGAGAAAGAAGAGGTAGGGAGGGAAGGAGTCAAAGGAACAGGAAGAAAGGGAAGGAGAGAAAAAGAGTGTGCCCAGCACAGAGGCATCCAGATCACCTGTCTCTGGGTCCCCCAGCACTGACTTCACAGTTGCATCACAGGCCCTGTCCTGTTCTCCAGGGCCACACAACCCTCAGGGGATCCTTAAGTCAGTGCACATCCTGTACCAGTCAGCAGACCATGCTGACTGGCACAGCGACCCTTCTACAGCAAAGGGACCTGGGACTCCTACCTCATAGCCCCAAGTCTACTTGGGCTATACCTTCTCAGCTCTGGGGATCTGAGCTAGGCAAAACCAGTGACAAAGTGGCTCCTGCTTGGAATTGCCGTGGGTTGGTGTAGGCTCCACAACCAGTGGCCAAGGCAGCTACAATCTCCAGCAGAGCCCAATGAGCCAGGACTAGAAAGGAGAAAACGAAACTCCAAGGGGGAGAGAGGGGAGACAGACAGATAGAGAAAGCAACCAAGTTCCTTATATCTCCTGAGCACACTGACACTAAGGTAGGTCACACATGTCATTTTCCTAGAACTTCCTCTACCTTACTCCCCCTTTCATTTTGAGTATTTATACTTTCCTATCTATAAGGGCCTCTTGGGACAATGCTGCTCTAAAAACTATTTCTCTGAAAAAAGAATAAGCCCAGGTTTATAGTGTTTGCCAATTCCCCTGGCGTAAATACTCCCTCTGTGATCCATTTCAAGACACTAATGACATCACAGTCCATGGCGTTGGCCAGAGATGCACACAATCAGCATCCTCTAAGTCTACATTTGACACTGTTTCAAAATACTAGGTACCTCTCTGAATATTCTCTCATTCCCCTAATTCTTCACATCACTGAAACTAACATGTACTGAGTTCCCAGGAAATGGTTTCCCAGGAGCAGAACAAGTACACTAAGGCAATTAGTGTCATTATTAGTGCCAGCTAACTCAATATAATATTAACATGTTGAAATTTGCCTTCTCAACAAAGGTAATTCAAGGACTTTTGCATCTCCTTCAATCATTCAAACTCTGATGTTTGCATCTCCTTTCATTTCTCAAACTTACATGGTACCTGGCATAAGGTAGAAGGGAGGAAGAACACAAGAGGGAAAAAAGAAGGGAAAAGGTGAAAATGATAGCAAGTCATTTTGAGAAGAAAATCCCTCTCTCAGATGTGAGCAAAAGACAGAGAAGTGCCCAGCACTTGTAAGATCACATCCTTTTTGGTCCTAACATCAACTGAGAGGGTCAAATAACAGAATCCTGCTCCTTGATCATAACCAAAGTAGTGACTCTGAATCTGTCCCCTGAAAATGTCTCTTAAGATTTTTAGCACTAGCAGAAGCCAGCCAAGATCTCCTTAATTTTACTATCTGAAAAATCTAAGGGCAGACAAGTATGCTTCCTGCTGACAAAATACAAAATGTGGAACATGTCCAATTACAGAGAAACACTGAAATGTTGAATAAAAAGAAAAATAACCCAGGACAGGTCTACAGTCACAGTGGGAGACGCGGCCCATTTAATTACGGAAGATAAAAATGAATGTCTTCCGGAAGGGCCTTAATCTCCTGCAAGGTCTTTTTAGTTTATTTAACCATGAATGATTGTCTTTTAAAATTACTTGCAATTTTCCATTCTAAATATCAGAAGGCTACTTTCCAAACCATTTCTATAATTGGATTAAGACATGTACTTCAGCCTGGGAAATGGAATTTCCTCTAGATGAGCATTCCGGTATTGTAAGCCCCTGTTTCCACAGCAGAGTTAGAGCAGGTACCTAGACCACAGGAACAGCAGAGGCTGGTTCACTCCAACCACTCCTTGGAAGGCTCCTGCTTCCTAAATAGTAAGGTCAAGATACCTTTGCAGAACATTCCAGATGCTCCCAAATAGAATTCTCAGTGCCTACTCTGTACCATTGTAGGCCAACAGAGACAAGAGGCTGCCAAGTCATCAGCACTAGGGGGACAAGCTGGGTTACCAGAAAGAGGAGAAGCTCCGAATCTGGTGGACCAAAAGCATAGTTGGAAAGTGGGGCCATAGAACCCAGGGTTTGGAACTGGGGAATAAAATCAAGAGGAAGAAGCTGGAGTCAATGAAGAAAAATATCTCGAAAGGAGACTAGGAACACTGCTGCATGGCCAAGGCTCACTATGAAGGACCAGCAGAGGGACCACGTAAGGGTGGCTGGGCCTGGTTAGTGGAGAGGTGGGGGAAGGAGCAGAGACCAAAGCCTAATGACCAGCATCAACAGGAAAATACACATCTGTCACCTCATGCCATGCTTTTTATATGACTCTGTGCCTTTGCATATGCCATTCATCTGCCCAGAATGCTATTCCTGCCTTTGTACCTAATGAGCTCTCACTTTTTCCACAATGCCCAGGGCTCAGATTTCTTTCCTCTGTGAAGTTCTCCCCCTCATCACTTCATATTCACCACCTCTTTCCTTGTAACTCCTCATCCCTTGTGCTTACCAAGCACAATATTTGGTATACAGTAGTTGCTTAATAAGTGCTTGTTGCGTGAATGAGAAAGTAAAAAAATAGTTTATGCTGTATTCACTAGTCAGATCTTGTTGAAAGGATCTATTGATATTAGCAGTAGTTTATAAAATGAGGCTGAAGGGTCAGGAGAGATCCGTGTGTCAGCCAAAATATAGTCCCTGAAAAGAAAAGGCTCCTTTCTAGACACAATCACTTTCTAACCACGAAAGTCATGAAAAGCAATAGCAGCAGATTCTTTGGTAGGAGATTCAAAGGTTTAATAGCTGATATTCAAACAATGCCAGTAGTTTTCAGCCAATGGAACACCTGAAAACCACTAGAGAACCTACTGGAATGAATACTCACTCTTCTGGAGTCTATCATGCTGAAGATCAGGCTTAACATGACAGATTCTGGGGTTCGCCTTGAAGATTCTGATATAGTGGACTGAGGTCAAGGCAACTGTATTTTTAAAAAACTCCTCCCAAGTGATCCTAATAATGAACAGATTCAGAAACCACTGGATGGTCATCTCTAAACTACTGATGATGTGACCTGTGGTATGCATGACTGAACATTGCCAGGCAGAGGAGCTATGGTAGATCAGAGATGGTCTTCACAAATAATTGGTCAACCTACTACGTACTTCTTATCTCATTTGGTCCTCCCCAAAGCATTAGAGGTAGGGGCAAAGGCTGAAGCTTGCAGAGGTGGGATTCAGAATCCTGACTGTTTGTTCTAGAGCCGTGTGTTCTTAACCATTGTGCAACATTGCCTCTGTAGGCAAAGATCAACTTCCTAAAACACAATGTCTTAAAGAACTGGCTGGTATACTTGAAACTGCTTCAATTTGTGCTGCCTCTGGACTATTTTGTTCAGTAATTCACAGGAACTAGTTCTTATGCTAAATTTTGGACATTTCTCTCTCTCTCTCTCTCTCTCTCTCTCTCTCTCTCTCTCTCTCTTTTTTCTCAGTGTGTTTTGTTCATGCTTGGCATATGACATATATTCCACAACTATGTGACGAATTGAAAACAACTGGATTCTCTGACTGTCATAAATCCTATGTGACTATAGCCAAGCCCCTCACCTAATCAAAGCTGTTTGTGCCACACTGCCTATGTTGAGACTGACTGAAAAATGTGACCTTACTATCCAAGAGGAGGAAATGACAAGGAACTTAATACACACTTGCTAAATGAGCTGTCCAGGTCAGCACATGCTTTCTACCTTCACAACTGTGTGTCAAACCAACCTTGAAGGATCTGGGGTCCCAGTGAAGTAGTGGATGCACGGTGAGCTTCTATTCTGGGGCAGGACAGACACTATACTGGCTGTGGTGAGGAAAGATTCAGAGTCTATGCAGACTCCACTGGCTTTGTCCCGTAAGATGTTAATCATCGTCTGCACCGTGATACTTTCTGAGAAAAAAAAGAGAGAGATGGAAAGAGAAGATTTAACAGTGGCAAGCTGTGAATCAAAAACATTTTCTCTTTCTCTTTTTTAATGCCCCTCTGAAATTATAGCTGGGAACATAACTACTAACAACAGAATATCTCCCAGCTTCCCTTGTGACTAAGTTTAGCCATGTGATCATTTCTGATGAATAGAGTTGAGCAGAAGTGGCATATGCAGATTCTTGTTCACATTCATATCTCTGTCATTCACTTTTCTTTTTGCAACTTCCTGCTAGATGGAAGACACCAACAAGTGGACCACCCATGGAAGCCCTATTTTGAAACAGCCCTGGACTGTATATACATGTGGACAAGAATATGGGAAAGAAATAACTCCCATTTTCTTTAATCCATATTAATTTGGGGTCTTTTGTAGAGCATTTAGCTATGCCTCAAGTAATGCAATAACTCAATAGACATCCATAAGAAAGAATGTGCAATCTAGACACAGTCCCCCAAGCTCTCTCTTTCATATGCTGTTGCTTATTAAGGTCAACACAATATTTGGGAAATGGCCTCTGTGCGGTGGGAAATATACACAGACAGAGGCATTAAGACTTTCCAGAGCATGTAGCTATTGGCTCTGAAATCAGGTGAGTGAATATATAAATCCTTGACTACACGGGATCCATTTGTACATGTTCCCATTTGGTTACAACTCTTTAAAACACTCAAGCCAGATGTGGTGGAACCTGACTGTTATTCTAACACTCTGGAGGCTTAGGCGGGAGGATTACAAATTCCAGGCCAGCCTGAGTTACATGGGGAGCCCCTTTTCAAAAAACCAGAAACAACAGCAAAACACTCTTGTAGTCTGTGTCCACAAAGATGGAATCCCACGGGGAGAAGGTTTGTTAACACAGTGCATATCATCTTTATAAAGCTCTGTTTATAGCATTTCACACCCAAATTATTAACAACGCCATTCATTTCTTCAACTATACAGAGCTCAAATTTCCTTACTGTCTCATACTGTGTTGATTTGAATCATATTTATTACTAATAGGTTGGCAATATCTCTTAAATTTTTTAATCTCTGCTTCACATTTTCCCCCCTTGCATCTTACTTATCAGAAGAATTGGGTCATCTTCCTACAGTGTCCCAGTCTGAACTGTGTGCCATCTCCCCAGTGTTATTAAAAATGCTTCCCCATCCTCTTTCTTGTAAAATAGTAGCTACATCTGGAGGTTTCATCAGATTTAGTGTTGATGTTTTATGGTGACTATTTAATAACTTTCATTGCTGGTTTGGTTCCAATTTAAAACTTTTAGAACTTTTTTAAAAGTTCCCATTAAAAATGAATATGTCCTTACTTTTCTACTCAGATTATATAACTTAAATTCTATAACAAAAGTCCCAAAGTGTTACTCTAGATTTAAAGTCAAGAAACTGTTTCTTAAAGAACTCAATAGAAAATATTTTAGGCTTATAAATTCATATGGTCTCCATAGACACATTCCTGTTGCAACTGCTCAATTCTGCCATTACAGCAGGAAGCAGCTATAACAATACAGAAATAAATGGGTATGTGCTATGGACTGGATCTTGAATTCTTCCAAAGGCCCACACATTGAAGGCTTAGTTCCCAACCTAAGATGTTACTGAGAGGTGGTGGAATCTTTAGGAGGTAGGGCCTAGTGGTAAGAAGTTAAGTCATTGAGGTGTGGCCTTGAAGGGGAAATTAGGAGTCTGGCCCCTTCTGATTTCTCTCTTTCCCTCCTGGCCTCCATGTTGCCCCCTCAATGATGTACTGTGCTGCCATAGGCCCAGAAACAATGCGCCCACCCATTTTTGTACTGAAACCATAAGCCAAAACAAACCTTTCGTCCTGTATGTTGTTTATATCAGGTGTTTTGTCACTTGATGAAAAGCTGACTAACAGACTATGGCTGTGTTCCAACAGAACTTTATTTCCCAAACAGGCAGCTGCTGCAGGACATAATTTGCCAACACTAGTGTTAAATGATAAAAAGCTGACTTTAAAAATACGTGAACAACTGGTAAATGTAAAATGTTGACCATTGTGGTTTTTTGGAAAAATTTCCACTCAGGAACAAGAGTAATAAGCTATCTAATCAACACATTGACCTAAATATGGATTCTGATTAAGTCAGTAATTGGGTGGCAGACAAATGGTTTGTGAAGAGAATTCAATGCAACAATTCACCTCAACAAAGGTTCATGGAACAAGGGACTACACAGGTGTCATAAGAGGATCCTAAGATGAGTAAGAGATAACACTCCTGCCCTCAAAGTCCAGCTGACTAACGGGGCTGGAAAAGAGGAAAATATAAGGACAAAGTAATACTAATATATTAATTCTGAGCTCTAAGGAGGGCTTCAATAAGTAGCACAAAAAACAACACAATGACATCAGTGTTCAAAGGAGAAATAGTATCAGAGGAACAAGAAATCTCCTTGGAGGAGGAAGAATTGTGTAAAAAATAAATACAAGATGTCCTTTTGCCTGAACATCAGGAACTTTTGGTACAAGTTAGTCTACATGCAGGGTCTACCCTCCTATTTGTTCATTCTCTTAAGCTCAGACCAATTCTCTGGAATAACTGCAAGATAAAGGGTATAGGAAGGAGAACTATAAGGTACAGACTCACTCACCTTCTTGCTTTTCTAAGCTGTCTTTGCCTGCACAGCAGTCCAGATGATCATCAGCTGGGGAAAAAACTTGGGAAAAATTGAACTCATCCTCTCCCATCCACCAGCCTTGACTCTGAGCGTAAGTCCTGAGGTCCGGATGCTCTGCATCCATCTTAGTGGTGAGGGAAAGCTGATTGCAAATGCACTTTACTCCCTCTGCAGAGAGTGTAAAAGCCAGTTAGTGGAAAATACACTTGTGAAGACTTAATCAAGAAACGGAAATTTATAGGGAATCATTCTCATGGAACCCTAACATCTCAGGGAGGACTCAATTCAATTTTCAAAGAGAAAAACACACAATCCTTGGTCCTCATTCTACAAGAATTCCTAAAAGGTTCAGCTAGGCATGATCACATTTTAGATAAGCAACAACTTTACTTATCTTAAATTCATAATCCAAAGGAAATGCACAAGGCCCTTCATTCTCACTAAATACCCCAAGTATGAATTAAAGGAAAGAGAGGTACAGGTTTAACAAGACATAAAAATCTGTAAGAGATTCCTCCCCAGTGGGATTTTCTTTCCACACCACCACCACACCCACCCAAACAGATAAAAATTAAAATGTAGCTAAATAAATCTAGAATCAGAAATGGTCACATTCTGAGTATACTCTACCTCGCTGAATGAGAGTTAGGCCAGAAACCCACCTATCAGCTGGCGGGCTCACTAAAGCAGGACATGCAAATACACAGAGGACAACTTGGCTATCAAGCTTCAAGATGCTGCCCAGAGTACAGACACTAAGTTATCAGTGCTAGCCCCAGTGGGCAGTTCATAGTTTCTCTCTCAGGGAGCATGTTAATGTTTCAGATTCTTGAATAATGAAATAAAAGAATGAAAGAGCCTAAAGTCCTAGCTGAGATAAAATCATTGCTGCCTGAAAGCCAATCCCTAGAGGTCTGATCAGTGCTGGCCTGAGTTCTCCCAAGATGCTTTGCTTCAATGATTTGCACCTCCAGAATAAGCACTCCTGACTGAGTGACACTGGTCCTTTGCCACTCACTTTTTCAGAGGCCTCCACAAAAGGAAAAATATAAATAATCAAATAATAAATAATTTATTTTTGATTAATAAATAATTAAACAATAAAAAGTAGCTTGAGCCTAAAACAGTTTTGACATTACTCATACTAAGCTATTTTCAAAAAAGAAAAGCTTTTGTAAACAATTCCACGGATGTTATTTTCCTGGAAGGCTGATTTATATTAGAGATTTGCTTTCAAGAATCAGCATTGGAGGGTAGGGTGCATTAAATCCGCTGCCATCAATTACGCTGCTGCTGAGATCAGAGGACAGGAAATCGATAAACCCAAGAAATGGCTGAGTTTTTTTTTTTTTAATTTAAATGTTTAGTGAAAGACAACATTCATTTTGTGGAGATGAATTTTTAAGCTATATTTTGAACAGAAGCTCAGCTTTTGAAATATAGTTATAGACCAAAAAGCCTTGGATCTTACTTTAAAGCAACTTGACTGCTTTGAAGTTGGCCCACTAGCCTTCTTAATGGGGCATTCAGTAGTAAGATTTCATCTAGGGGGCTTTTTATAAAAGGAGTTTTAAGTTCCAGCATTATAGCAGAGTTGCAGACCTGGGAGGCCACACTGACTTCCTTTGTTCTGTAAATACAAGTGAGAGCCAGCAAGCAGGCACCAGCCCAACTGGGTATACACTGGGCCCATGAAGGTGGAAAAACTCCCTGTGGTGTAGATGGTGTGGCTAGACCATTCTGCACCCTTGTGAGAATGAACAGAAGCCAGCTCTTCCTCCAGGTAGACACAGCCTTCACACAGGCTGGTCAGGACCCCACATTTTAGATTTCTCTGCTTCAATGGACTTTGTGCACAAAAAACAAAACAAACAAACAAACAAAAAAACGGGTTTTTAACTCCTAATGACTTTGACAGATCTGCTTCCAACTCAGGTTAGACTTGGTTCCAAGGCAAAAGTGGCAAACAGGTTTCACCCCTCATACCATTTTTGATTAACTGGAAGAGAATTCATGGTAAACTCAGTTGAAAAAGTTATAGAGGCCAAAGATAGGTTCAACAACAGTGTTTTACCAGCCATGTCTGCAGGGGCATAGGAGAAAGGCAGTGCACATACCACGTATTTATCATCCTGTCCTAAGGAATGTAAAAGGAGTGTCCCTGGTAACTCTCTTTCTCTCCTAGTTCTATGCAGTCCTCTTGGAAGCTCTTTATCTCATTCTGGGATCCCATCCCATTGGGAACACGAGCATTCTGAGGAGATGAAACAAGACCACCACTCCTACCTGTAACATATCCTTCCTCAGCACTGTCTAAGAAGCAAGACTCTGCAGGGGACACAGCAGTGATTCTATGGGCACTAAACCCTTCTGTGTAGATCACCAAGTTCTTGGCTTTTCTAGTACCATTTTCTTACACAGCAATGGCCTGGTTAGCCCAAGTGACATTCAATGATCTTCACACAGATCCAAATTCCTACTTTAGAGGAACATTCTGAGCTCAAACAGCTACGGGGCTGTGGGTGACAAGGGGCAGCTCCCTGTTGAAGGGATTTGTTGACCTGTTATGAATGAAGAACACCATTCCATTAGTCAACTAACAGAGTTAACAGTTTCAGTCACGGAGCTGCTGTAGTCAGAAATGGGTATTGCTCAGAAAGCAAACAGAAAATATGAAACACTGGGAATGTACTTCTGGAGTATGGACATCCTGTCAGTCTGGATCCAGGGCACTCCAGGTTCAGATCTGGAAACAGATGCAAGGAAGTAAGCAGTGTGCCTAAGCATGAAAAGCCAGTACACAGGGGTTCTGCCCCAGCAGCATGTTCCCTGGCTTTGACCCTGTACGTCCAGCCAGCATTACCTCAGCCTTTCCCCTCCCCAAAACTCTTCGTCCTGCACCCACTCACCTGTAATTTTCTCTGCAGCCCAGTACTTCCCTACAGTCTCCAGTGCCCAGGCTTCGTCACGGTCCACAAGCAGATAAGCACTTTGGAAGCTATGGCAGGAGTTTGCGTCTTCGTAGTAATTCCCACCTTGTCCGTGTTCTTCCAACAAGGAGACAATGACGTCTAAGGCTTCTTTAGCTGTTGTCCCTCTTTCTAAACCAAGCCTGAAGTCAGGAAACCAAAAGTGTACCTCAATCATTTCAGACCACATGACTGTCACCATGGCAACTAAAGGCTGGCACAAGGTTGAGTTAGGAAGCATGCCAATGTGCGTATACATGGTAAATACTCAAACTGATTAGCAGCACTTGATAACTCAGAATTCCTCTCTCACACACTCAATTATAAATCATGGGGGATGGTTTCTGTCTTTAGACATAGCCCAGATAGAGGAATCCACACAGACAGAAGAATCAGGAGCCAGTGGCCTTTCTATCTGGACAGGATGGTTTGCACCTCTTTCTGTTTAATGACCACCTTCTCTGGAGCTGGCTGACTGGCTCAGCTGTAGCCCCTAGCAAGACCCCTTTTCTGAGGCCTGTGCTTCCTTCTAACTCCTGCCTAAGCAAAAGGAATCTCTGCCCAGCCTGGATCTCTATTATTCTATAGGAGGTATTTTGGTTACTGCTATGGCCTGTTTCTGTCTTCTCAAAATTCTTATGTTGAAACGCTAACATTCGATGTGATGGCACTAGGAGAGAGAACCTTTGGAGGGTGATTAAATCATGAGAATGGTACCCTCGAGGGATTGGTACCCTTGTGAAAAAGTCCTCAGAGAGCTGCCTTGCCCCTTCCCATATGAAGACACAGCAAGAAGGTGCCATCTGTAAATCAGAAAATGGTCCCACACTAGATACCAAATGCTGGCACCTTGATTTTGGACTTTCTAGCTTCCAGAACTATGGTCAATCAATAGCTCTTGTTTAAAAGCACTCTGTTTATGGTATTTTGTTCTAGAAGCCCAAGTGGACAAAGACACGTAGAAATAAAAATGTCTGATTGCCAGCCAATGTCCTCTGTGCATATAATTTGTCCTTAGATCTCATTAGGAATGGGCTGCTCGTTAGGACATGATCAATCCTTTTTCTACATATTTCCCTCCACCCATCAGCTGACATCTACTTATTGGTGTGGTTTGCAGCTTCACTTATCAAAAGAACACATATTCCTTCCAAAGTGAGGCGTCCATCTCCCCGTGGTCCTACCAATTAATAAACCTTTTAAAAACAGTACAGATACTGCCCTTGGTTATAACCTTGGGCAGTTCAAATAATATATTTGAACTTCAGCTTTATACCATCTATAGAATGAGTGCTTATGTCGTTGGGTTGCTCTGTGGATGAGTTTTAAGAGATAATGAATGTGAAAACACACAGCACTAGTGTCTGCAACCAAGTACATGATGAGTCAATTTCAGGAGGTAAAACACTATGGCAGAGAAATGCATGATTCAGAGATAAAGGGACCTAGCTTCTAGCTCTGGCCCCTATTACTGGCAGACCTCAAGTAATGTGATCTTTCCAACTCCTTATCCTCTTATTGGCAAAGTGGAAACAATACCACCTCCATCTTGGGCTAATTTGGCAGCGCTGGCCCATGAGATGTACTCAGTTCATTTATCCAGTCATTCTGTCAGACTGTAATCCTGCTAGCAGGAACTCAAGAGTCTTAGAACATGGGCAATAGAGCTACTGAAATGGTGATATGAGTCGTTCTTGATGAATTTTCAACTTGAGAAGTGATAGCTATTAAAAGTCACCCAGTTTAATGTTTCCTGAGGGACATTCCACTATGCTGTCATGGGAAAGAAAAGATAATACAACTATAAGCTATGGACTGATTCTTGTAATAGGCTTATTTTCATAGTCAGATCATTATAAACCAATCCATTTGACATTTCTCAGTTTAAGCTTATTTAGGAAGACTTGGTTACAAAGCTGTGATTTACAAAACTGAACCTTAAGCCTTTGAGAGTGATAAAAGAATAACTTGATCCTTTTGTGGTTCATAAGCGTTATGATTGGGTTTTCACACTCCCTCAAACCTTATTATAACTTTGGTATGTTATCCATCAGACATTTAAAAAAAAAATGAAGGTTGCATTTTTCCCTTATCAAAGCTGTCTTCTCCTAAGAGAAGTAGCACCAGCAAGTGAAGTAGCACCAGGAAGTACTCCACTTATCTCAAGGATCCATAGCAAACAAATATGCTACAAGACCTCTTGGAATGAGGAGTTGTGCACCCTAGAAGGCCACCTTCCTCCTTCTCAGGGTCCCTCAGGCCTCTGGCACAATGCTTCTTATACACATTCTAGGCACATCCCCGCCCCCAAGGCCTTCCCAGGGTCCCAAATCGATCCATGCAAACATATGCCAAGACTTGTGAATACCTAGCCACGTGTAACAGCCCCATCTTTGAGGATTAGAACCTCTCTTTTGCAGTTCACAGTGCACTCTTCTGAAGTTTTGCCTGTTCACAAACCATGAGATCCCAATCCCAGCATTTGCCCTCCACCCTGACTTGGACTCCCCTATGCACAGCAGGACCCCAGTACCCACCTACAGACATAATTCTGATTTTACCCACTATCTCAGACCATAACTGTGGTAAAAGACACTCCATTGACCTATATGACCATTCCCTCCCACCTGGGCTCCTTGTCATGCATGAGGACTGGACAGCCCACTCCAGAGTTCCAGAGCGAGGAAGAACACTGGGACTATACACTCTCCACCAAAGACTGAGAGGTGTAGACAAATCTCATATCACCAAGTATGGAGGGGATACTAGGCCTATGGTGATCCCCTCAGGGACGCATGTCACTCAAAGTCTGGGGGCCTATTTTAAAGCCATTCCTACCTGTTTTACCTTCTAGTTGGGGTAGATTTCTGTGATTACAAATGAGAGGAGCACTTTTCTGGCCCTGATGCCTACTTTCACTTTGGTTGCTACATCTGAGCCTGGGCAGGACTAGGACAGGAAAAGTGAAGAAACTGAATAGACCAAGATTACGGTTTCACTCAGACAACGCCCTCCAGTGCAATTCAAATCCTTCCTAAGTCTGGGCTTTGTCCAGGTTTTCCAGGAGCATGAAAATTACATGCTCCTGAATTCAATTTTTCATTTTATTTGGGATCCATGACCTTCTCACTGGTATGTCAAGCTCACCTTGACTATTCCTGAAAGGTCAGCACATCAATCTGAGGAAGAGAGAAACATCTGCACTTTTTTTAGGAACTCTGCTTGCTGGTCTTTTCAATTATCTGTGCCTCCATAAATTAAGGGGACCCCCTCCCTTTGTATCCCAAAGAAGTTAAAGTAAATGAGAAGTAGATTTATTGTGGATATTATCATTGCTATCCTTAAGGGAGAGGCTTAATGTTCTTACAGGACTCCTCAGCAAATTATCTTTCCTCCTTCCCACTACCGACGACTCTACAAGGTCCTTGTGGCCTTTTGGACACTGGGAGATTCCCAGTCTTTAGCCAGAGAGCTGGAAGCAGGAATGTAATGCTATGAACCAAATTTATGTGCCCTGTTGCAATTATGTGTTGAAGCCTAATTCTCAATGTGGTGATATTTAGACCAGAGCCTTTGGGAGATGATTAGGTCATAAGTAGAGCCCTCATGATGGGATTAGGACCCTTAGAAAAGAGACATGTAAGGTCACAAAAAGCAGATGGCCATCTACAAGCCAGGAAGAGGGTCCCCACCAGATACTGATCTGCTGGCATGGTGATCTTCCCAGCCTCCAGAGCCAAGAAACAAATATTTGTTATATAGAATCTCCAGCCTATGGTGTGTTTGTAATAGCAGTCCAAACAGACTAAGTAAAGTGATTAGTGGACACTAAGGGCTGGGGTATTAATGTTTAAGGTGTTAAAATTACGAACATTTGTTATTTAGCTCCTGTTCTCAGCCTCAACAAACCAGCCCAAACCAAAATGGAATCATTCATGCTAAATGCTCCATAATCAAACTGAAGCTTTAAGGAAGCAAAGAGAGCCCAAAATAGATTATTTTTAATGAAACAATAGATTCCATTGTACCTGAGTTAGCATAAGTCCCTTCTGCTTAAACCCTTACAGAAAAGTAACCTGAAGTAACTTGATGTTAACCAATCCATTTTTTTTTTTCAACTCTTCTGTTGCCTCGTTTGCACTTTGGTAAACTCAGTGTTCTGCTTTTGCCTGGTGGGAGCTCTTTTTCTATTTTGGAGAACGAAGGCTTCCCTGATTCATACATCAAGAATAAATGTCAACTCAACCTAAAATTAATTTTTTGTCATTTCATCTTTTAACAGGGGAAGGGTGTGTGACACCTTTTGACTCATCTGTATCTTCTGTGTCCTGAGCTTCCTGTCTCCTGGAGAGAAGTAAAGAGTGATCTAATGTAGAAGGAAAGGACCCCCTGAAGTTGGCAAGCCCTGTTATCCAAGACTCAGCCACCTTCTAGCCTGGGGACTTGGGCAAGCCCTTTAGTCTCCCTAAGCTCCAGTTTCCCCATCTACCAAACATAAGTGAACAGACGCACATCACTGTGCTGTTATGATCATCAGATGAAGCAATATACACAACACATTTTCCAAGAGTGTTCAGGGAATAGAATATGGGTTCTCCCCTCCTGCAAGTACTAACTGGGCCTCCTTTCCAGTCACCTGTGAGTTCTGACACTCACTAACAACTTACAAACTGCGGGCCTTTCTGTATTTTCACCCTGGCTTCTTCTTAAGGACTTTTGTGTGTTTTAACATGCTGAGAGGATGATGGGATGTGGCCAGAATTATAAGATGTTCTGAAATACTGAGATTGACTGGGTTTTAGTGGCAACATTAAACACAGATGAAGCAAAAGTCAGTAAAGACAAAGAAAAGACGAAAGCAGTTATACAAAGGGAAGAGGCACAGCACACTGAACAAGTGTGAGTGATCTGCTAGAGCCAGCTGGGACCAGCTCAAAAGCAAAGGGTTAAATTTCAGGGATGGAGAGCCCTTTGTTAAGCCCTAGGTATCTTGAAATCTATCATGTTGGGACAGACAAACCTAAAGTCATAGAGATGTCTTGACACCCAGAAAATAAATTCCCATCCTTATGTCAGTTCCTGTGTAACTGCTTGATACCTGGAACCAACCATCCTCAAGAAATGTACAAAAATGTGTGTATGTGTTTACATGCCTTTTCCTTGAGGGAAATGGGCTAGTTATCAGAATCTCACAGAGATTGGTGAATCAAAGGAAAGGTAAAAAAGAAACAAAAGCACAAAACAGACAAAGCTTAGCTTTTTCACATCAACCTAACTAGAAGTGAATTACAACAACAGTATTACCTAATGCTTGCATTCCCACAAGCCTCTAAGAAGCACATACAAATCGAGCCTTCATTTCAGCGCCTGCTGAATTGCTGTTGTCATTCGTGTATGTCATTCATGTAGGAGGTTGCACTTGACAAGCAGAGGGAAAGCACAAAGAACCAGAGTACATAGGGGCAACCAGTGTATTCAGCCACAGCCACAGCAGACGCTTGAAGTGGGGTATAAAATGTATAAATAGCCTACTCTCCCAGAAGTTGTCCAGGAAAGTGCTGATAGCCAAGCATGGAGGAGGGGTAGGGACAGAGCAAACAGTGGTGTCTTATGTAGCAATACCCAGGGAGATTCTGGGACCCAAATTGAGAAATTCAGTCAACCCATGGGAAGTTCCCTCTATAGCAGTGACTTCTCACCTTTAGTGTGTACTCCCTCCTCTTGTTAAAACAGATCGTGGACCCACCCTCATTCAGTAGGGTGGGGTGGGGACTACGTATTTGCATTTCTACCAGGTTCCTAGCCAGCGCTAGTTCACCAGCCATGCTTGGAGAAACACTGTGCTATACCCTAACCACTCAGGCCAGGGTTGTGGAGCCAAAGTATCAATATTACCTGGAGCTTCCTAGAAGTTAATACCATAGGCCTTCTGGTTCACTTTTAGGACCTGGTTGGTAGTAAATGGCCCTTAGAATCTACTAGTCTTGGCTGATCATATTAGCTCAAAGCTGAGACCAAATGAACCACACCCTGAATTCAAAGATCTGCTCCCTGTGCAGACACCTGTGGCCATACCTATAGAACCTACCAGTGTCAGGGTTCTTTTCATAGCTAGCCAGGGAAGGAGTTAAAATTAAGTGACTCAGGTCCAGCAGTCACCCTATCATCTACTCCTGACATCTGTTATCATCCCAGACCTTGCTAACTATCACACCATCAATTATGTGCCAAATATATCCTCTGTCTCTAGCCTTCAGACTTGCAGATCCAAGTCAAATACATCTCCTCAAAGTATCCCAGATGTGCCCCATCTGTGACAATCTCTGAACATTCAGCAGTGTTTCCTGTGGGCCATTCATGTGACATCACAGTTCAGATCTCCTTGAGTCCAGATCTCCTTGTTTTAAGACAATACCTTATTGTTGTAAAATTTGCATTGCTTAATACTCTGTCTTCTCCCTGCAACTCGACTAAAAATCTCTTCTAAACCTTGAGCTTATGCATGTGCCCACAGAATCTAGCACAAAGAGTATGTCAGGAAGCCCCTCTTGCTTTACTGGTTGATTATCTTGGAATGATAAGCTCAACACTTGGAAGAGAAAAGCATTCTTGTCCATAATCTCTTTGAAATGAAATTTAAGATGGTTGTATTTTTCTATTTCTGTAAGTCCCATACAATAACTATAATAACTCACAACACAAAGTTATAAATGAAGGGTTAAAAAGTCATGCTTTTCATTACTAATTCTTCATTTTCAGAATTTGTATTAAATACAGAGCTACAAAAAAAAAAATACTGGGAGAGGGCTAGGGGCATGGCTTAAGTGTAGTACATTTACACATTTTGTTCTGTTAATCAGGAGAAAACTGGTTTTCACTATGAGGCTTTTTCTGCTTTTTTCCCAATTCAGGAAAGCTGCTCTAAGTTCATAAGAATCAGGAAAAATAAGGAAGAGTAAGCAAGGCATAAAGGCCATGTTATCCACAGGGTGTCCCCATCACATCCATGCATTGGTTGACAGAAGCCATGAGTCACAGAGGTCCCTGTCTAAAAGTACAATTTCCCCTAGAAAACTAATGTCAAAACCTCTATTTCTTTTCATATGAAGTTAGCTTTGAGAGGTTCTTCAGAGGCTATACAATCTAAATCTCATATTGAAAACCTGAGGAACCTTGGTTCAGAGAAGGGATGTAACTTGGTGTATCCACTCTGAAAGCCAATATCACCAGCTCACAGCCCAATCTTCATTCATCTGCAGTGTGATTCCATTTCATTTCACTATGTCATAAGACTATTTTTATCTATCTTATCCTCTCTTCTAGTCATTCATTTAAAACTTAGTTGTTGGTTACCCTTCGTGTGCTGGGCACACAGTTCCCAGTGTTTGTGACACATGTGTGAAAAAATAGACCCGCCCAGCTTCTACATTCGGTTCCTTCTGGAACATGGTGGCTGGGGGGAGAGGGGAAGTAAGAAAAGAAAACCAAGACTTAAAGAGGGAAAGAAGGAAGTGATCTGCATTCTTCTTTTATATTTTATGCATTTTACATATATTTTCTTTTATAATAGTATGTTTCAAATGCCAAAAAATTCACCCATTTAAACTGTAGTTCAGTGAGTTTTAGTCTACACACAAAGTTGTACAATCATCACTACAATCTAAGTTTAGGACCTTGTCAACACCCCAAAAAGAAACCCCAATTCCCACACCACCACTCCAACCCTAAGCGACCACTAATCTACTTTCTGCCTCTTCTGTACATGTGATATAAATAGACTCATACAACATAGGACTTTTATGTCTGACTTCTTCCACTTTGTATGTTTTCAAGTTCATCATGTTGTAGTTTATTGCAATACTTGAGTCTTTTTATTGCTGAATAATGTTCCATTGTAGTGTATTCTTTTTTCCCTATCATCTCAAAGTTTCTACCAAAAAAGCACACATCATCTTTGGAAAGACTGTGCTATAAAAATAGGAGGTTTAGGAGTGAGTAAGTCCTGCTCCAATTCCCAACCTCTTCTAGGCAGTTGTTCCAAAGAATCACCATACAGTACCTGACCAGATCCATCCCCAGCAAGGCTTCTGTCTCAGCAGCTGGTTCTCTGGCATTGATGGCTTCATTGGCTATGCACACTCCATGTTCGTTGGCTCCCATTTCTGCTCCCCAAAGCCAAGCAGGTCTGCTTATCACTATGGCATGAGTCCTTGGAACTTGGTCGATAGAAATGTAAGTGCACTAAAAAAGGAAGACAAGAAAAAAGAAGCACCATCATCTGTCAGGTACCACTTAGTTCCCACTTTGGTATTTAATATTAGACCATCACGTCAGTTATAAACGGAGTCAAAAACAAAATGCTTTGGGAATGGTTTCCACGGTGAGTTTCAATTTATTTGGTTCAAGCCAACCTATTCATAGCACTTCCATATATGTGAACATCTCCAACCAGGTATTCAGCCAATCACTGCCCTGAACATTTATGTCTGGCCATCTCCATGGACACAAATGGACACCAGCATTTCAAACAAACAGCTATTTATTCTTGTTTGCAAAATCTTGCTAGATCAGTGGTTTTCAACAGAGCTCTAGCTATAAGTGAACAGTGCTTCTAGCTACCAGAAGCCTGACAGAAACTAGAGAACAGGTGGGGATGTACTGTCTGAAAAACGGAGGTCTCCTGAGTCCCCTACATTGATCCCAGGACTTTCTGGAACACATCCTGACAGTTGACATGATTGCAATAGTGGTTTAAAAAAAAAGGAGGGGGGATGATAATAATATTGACACTGATCTACCGCATTATAATGTACATGCTCTTATACACTGTGCTTTCCTGTCTGTCCCATGTGCTATTCACACTAAGTCACTGAGGTAGGCAATAAGGAAGCCATCTCAGAGAAGTCTATTTCTAACTGTTGTCAGAACTGTAGTTAAGATTGTATGACTTACCTTCCCCAGGTTGCTATTTCTTTACCTGGAAAACGAGGGAGCTAATTTAGATCAAAGTGTTTCTTCAAAAGTATTTTTAACCTCAGAAACTTTCCTCCGTTCAGACTCTTACACAGAAGCATAAACACACACACACACACAAAATCTGGTCAAAGTAAGTTGTAGCAAAAGGAGGAAGACAGGTGAGATGATAGGGACAGTCACTCAAATCCTTACCTACTCTTTCTTCCTTCCCCTTTCCTCATGGCCCTTGAAAGGAATGGGCTGGGGCATTAGGTTATCCAAGGAGCCTCATGACTCTGTCATTCTATGAGCCTATGTGACACTCTTTGTACGGTGGATGCAGTGTGGAATTCAGGGCCTCAAACTACACAGAGCTGCTGGGCTAGCTGCAGCTCCATTTGCATTTCAAATTGGGCAGCTGAAAGCACTGGATACACTGTAGACAGAGCTAATTTTTTTTAATTCATCATACCAATATGAACTGAATGTAGCCCAGACATTTATCTGTATTGATTTCCTGGAATCTCTAACCCTTAGGTAGCTCACATACTCCTTGGTCAGTGACTTCTGTCTGCATAGTTTGTGTCAGGAATTGTTCGCATTGGGATAATGTCACTCCTTTTCATACATACTCGTAAATGGAAAGCTAATTAAGTCCAGAGGTTGCCAATAAATCCTTGAGGCTTTTTTAATAATAAAACAAACTCTTGAAATGGTTTCCCCTACCTAGTTACCAAAAAATAATTTATTTTAAAAAATGGTTTTGTAGAGCAAAAAGCTGGCCAACACAGTGATCACAACTAAACTTTCTTGCTTTCCTCAATTAAATTGAACTTCCCATCAAAACTGCACTCTTTTGTGTCTAAAAAAAAAAAAAAAGGTTCAGTTATCGCTGTGGTTTGGATGTTGAATGTCCCCCAAAGGCCCATGTATTAAAGGTGTAGTCTCCAAGGGGTGCTATTGGGAGGTGATGAACCCTTTAATAAATTGGGGGTTGCTCTCTGGCTTCTTTCTCCTTTGCTCCCTGGCTCTTGAAGTAAGCATTTTGCCCCTGAGACACACTTCTGCAATGACATGCCACCTCAACACAGGCTCAAAGCAATGTGTCCAAGCAGCCAAGGACTAGAAGCTCCAAAACTATGGGCCAAAAGAAATCTTTTCTGTATATAAACTAATTCTCTGAAGTAGTTTTTATAGTAATGAAAAGCTGACTAACACAGACATTGACCACGACTTTTTAAAACCCTTGACCCTACTGAGCATGAGTGACAAATTTTGTCTTGAGAAGAATGAGTAAGTAGGGAAGGAATCTCAGCTTCTCACGTGTAGATTTATCATCATGTTTTTTTTAAGGTGGGGAAAAAATAAAAACTCTTAATCATGTTATTGATTTGTCCTCTGATTCATTTTTATGCATTCAATTCCATTTTGCCAATTACTTATTAAGCACTCACTACATTCAAGGCATTTTGTGCCAAGCTGCTGGCACAATGAGGATGGTCAGTCCCTATCCTGGCTGAGAAGAAACACACACAAATTACTGTACTTGTCACAGTGATTTCAGTAAGTGATTGAGGTAAGTCTCCTTCTTTCTAATCAACTCTATCTTGGTTCCCATCCCATTCCATTTATCCTCTTCTAAAATGCTACATAACTGATCTACTTATTACACGCACTGTTCATGTATACCATCTCCCCGAGCTAGAATGTAAGTTCCATGAGGGAAGGGAAAGGGCTTTGTTGTTTACTTCTCTGATATATCCCTAGGTTGGTACAGAGTAGGCATCAATAAACTTTTTTTGGATGGATGGATGAATGGGTGGATTACAAAGGTCTAAGGGAGCATAATAAAGATTCAAAGGAAAGAGGGAACACATCTAAGTGGCCAGAGCCTTTGTCAAATGAATAACATTTGAATAGATCTTTAAAAATGGGTCAGATATCAAGGTGTTCCATACAGAGCTAAGAGCCTGAGAAAAGAAGAGTGGGGATGTCCCCATGTGTTCATGGTTCAAGGAGGTTCCTGCTATGCCTCTGAGGGGACCTACTGTGATGACAGAACCACAAAGGCTCAAGAAGTACTGACTGGTAAACATGCTACACATTGAATCAAAAAGACCAGATGGTCCTTGTGGGAGTTCAAAATATATGCAGCCAATCTGACATTTTTCAGGCCAAATTTAGAATGATGAGGAAGGAACGGGATCCCCAAGTAGCCAGATGGGCCCAATCAGTCCCTCCTAAGCACCAGCCTGAAAGCCAAAGTGCCAAAAAAAATCACTGGAGCCTTACAGAGGCTTGTAACACATGCCCCTTGTGGCCTCTTAGTCTCAGCCCAGAGAAGCCTGGGTATAACAAGAGCCCTTCTGTGACAGCTATTCAAGCCCCACTCCATTGTGTTTTAAATCTAGCTAATCACAGCTACCTCTGGGATTGGGGGCAGGGTAGGAAAGGAAAAACACACCAGTCTCCTGTGAATTGGTTATTTAAAGGCCCCGATTGGAAGCAATTCTCACAAAGCAAATGTACACCATATGCAATTAGATAAACTTTATAAAGGCAGCCATCTAGAACATGAACTCCACAGGCAGTCATTTTTTCTAAATAAAATTCACCAACCTGGGCAAGAAGTGGCATTTGAGATAGCAAAGATTTTGCCAGGGTAATAACATCCAGAAAGCAACTGAAATCTTCTTTCAGTGAGCAAAAAACAATTTAGTGCCCCATGTCAAACTTGCTAGCTAAAAGTCTATTAAAAAAGAAAAAAAGAAAGTGTTCACCACTTAGATGGGTCCTTTCGGAGGTGGTCTGGTCTCAGTTTCAGTTATTAAGTTGTGCCAGTGAACTGTGAAAAGAGATGAGCAATTTCTCTTGCTGCCCCATGGCCTTTCATAAAACACATGTCAGCAAGTGTGACTTCTGGAGCAGGGAGTGGGGGCAGTGGGGCAACTTCTGAAGGTCAACACTCCCTAATGTGAATCATGGAGTTTTAAAGGAATTGCCTGTCATGGGCTTCCACTCTTTCAGGTGTCTGCAGGGGACACCTGCCATGTTGAGGGTAGAAAATATGAGCTTTGAAAAGGCCCTACAGACAAAAGCAAAAACGATTATTCTGCAGAGTGAGCCCTTTATTGTCTTGTGAGATTGGGTCAAAAATGAAAAGCAAGATCAGCTTCATGCTGACGCCTACACCACCAATGTTCCAACGCACACTATTTCTGGATGTCACCACTGAAAGGGGAACAGACACTCACACAATAGGCATTTCAATTCATGAAATGCAACCATTGTGCCTTTCCTACTGTACTCAGATGGTGAACACAGGCCTGGCACCACCACAAAAACCATTGTGGGATACAATGATGAGTCAGCCAAACTCCTAGGGTGGGGGAGAACAGGCAGGGAAAATGGGATGCTTTAGAGAAACAGCTTTACTTGGAGAAATTTGCAACTCTAAAGCAGCATTGCTCATAATCACTATGGCTTTTTTTCTTTTTGCTTGTTTATTTATTTATTTTTTACTCCAATGTATGCCTGCTATTTGAATTGGTTTGTGAAAAACACGTGTCCTTAAGGTTCCTATGAGTCTAAAGAGAGACTAAAGAAGGCATTGAAGTCAGGAGGCAGTACCCTGAACCATAATTCAGAAGAACTGTCTGGTATTTCCCTGAAGCTTTAAGAGGTCTTTGGGATGGGCAATGCCAAGGCTGGCCTCAAAAATGGGTTAGGAAGAAAGACATGCTGGAAGGAAGCCCTCTGCTAAGTAATGCTATCTTGGAAATCAAGGTGATACTTCTCACTCCACACAGCCCCTGATCCCAGTGCAGAGAAGAGAAAGGAAAGACAGACAGGAAGGACAACAGAAAGTTTGCCCAGTGGCCAGGGGGCCAGAGCGCTCAATTCTGCAGAATGACTTGTGCTTTCCCATTGTAAGAAATAACATTGAGAATTAAAATCAGCCCCCACCCCCAACCTCCCTCCCCACACACTGATGATACAGGAGTTAGGAAACCTGATGACTGAGAACCATGGCTTGGATGTTGATAAACAATTACACTCTGGCCCACTAATGTTAACACAATGACTCATGACATACAGCAGGGACTTGCTGAGCACACAGCCCATGGAAAATGACAGCCCCAGTCTGACCATCCAAGGCCATGAACTCTCCCGCCTGAAGTGTGGGAAGAGTTAATGACACATAGCCCAATCTCCAGAAGTTAAAGAAACATTAACCCAGTTTTCCAGGACTGACCATCCCCATGTCTGCAGAGGCCTTGAGGTCTTGGGAACTTCACCACAGCACTCTCTTTGAGACTGCCTCTCCTTCTGTGTAGAGTACCCTTTTGCTTTGCTTTGTATTCATGAACCTGCTTAAGTCTCCTTTGTGTCCATCCTTGAATTCATTCTTCAATGAGATAAAGATCTTTCTGGCCTCTGAACTCTGTGACCCAAATCCAGTGACAAGACCACACATCACATATGTGGCCTCCATTTGGACAACTTTTCTAACAATGCCACCAAGCCATCACTAACTGTTAATTTTCTATTCTTCTCATAAATATTTTCATTGGTGAAGAAAAGAGAAACAATGTACCAAAGCCTGCCCCAAATCATGACAGTTATATAACTTCATTGAGAATACTGAGTTCATACAGCACTTCCTGTAGTGGAAAATACACAAAATCAAAATTTACTTTCAAACAAAGGAAACCATTAAGGAGGCAAATAAATGGAAATGAGACTTATTACCAAACAATAACAGGCTATTTCAGGAAGTATTATGTGTCAAATCCAACTTTGCTATCAAGTGTTCTGTCTCCTTAAACTGTGGTATAATTAGCTTCTTTGTCACCATGTGTAAATAAGGTACACTTTAGCTGAAATGCATTGGTTTTCTGGAACTTTATTGTAATGGTTCAATGGTTTCTTAAATAGAAGACTCAACTATCTCAAAGAACTATACCATCCTCGGATACGCATGCACACACACACACACACACACACACACACACAGCACACTACACCACAATTCAGGAAGTTATTCATCTGCTTCCTCAACCCCTCCCTTCCCAAAGGAGAAGTTGTTCTTGGAGTGAAGTAGAGATGAGCTGTGTGATGATCAGTGGTTCAGAGAGGACAGAGGGGAATCAAAAACAGATACATGTTTATCATCCTATGATGCAACCCAAAGAGAAGTCATTAAAAACCCACTCTACCTGGGAAAAACTGAAAAATATAAAATTAAGATGTTCTAATCTGCCAATTGTCACCTAAACAAAAGCATGCAGTATAATTTTAGAAACTGAGCAACTTTGAACTGGAGGATCTTATTTCTTACTATTCGAGTTCCAAGCAAAGTGAACCTGAACATGGTAGATGATGAATGGATGGGGTTGACTGACTGGATGATGAAGAGTAGGCAAGTAGAAAATGGAAGGGAAGACCTCCTGGAAGGATGAATCAGCTGGAAGGGTCGGCAGATGCGTGAGTAATCAGGATGACTTTTTGCACAGAAAATTAGTTCCTGGGGCCTCAACATTAGAGTATGAGGTTTCTAAGGAAACCCTGGGATACATGTGTCTAAAACAATGAAATGGATAAAGAATAGATGATTTTTAGAGGATGTTCTCACTTCTCAGAGTTTACAAAACAAAACAAAACTGCAGAATAAAGAGTGTTTTTATGAAAGTTACATGATAGTAATTGGCTTGTAGGTCCATCTCTCCCCATGATCCCTATACAACAGAACTCAGTGACAGCTGCTCAGGTGCAACCAAGGATGTGGAAAGGTAAAGGCCAATGTTTCCTCCTGGTTTCTACTGTAAACCTTGTGAAAGACAGTGGTGCTATTAGAGCAGCAGGGACAAAAGAGACGAAGAAAATGAATTTGGTTTTTGACCTGAGAGGTTTTTTTTTTTTTAACCTGACTAATATGCATGTTTTGAGGCAGCTCAAAACACAGTATGGGACTTGGAAAAGAGGTCAGGGCTGCCCTAGACAGTAACTATTGGATATTATCTAACTATACCTGTTTATGCGAGAGGCATGCTTTAACCCACAGCATACTTTAGTAATAACCTACCACAGGTTAAGCAGTAAAAAGAACCTAGTCTGTTTCCTAAAATGATTATAACCATGGGAGTAAAATACTAGGAGTTATTTAGCCTGTCCCCAGGAAAGAAAACAAACTTTTCTAAAATAACCTATTTCAGACATGTTTATAAATAGCTTATGTCTGATGTAGCAAATTACCCCAAAATTTAGTGATATAATGTAACCATTTATTATGCTCATGGATCTGAGGGGTCAAGTAGTGAGTGGTGAAGAGCAGGGATGGTGAGCCCCAGTCCAATGTCTCATGGCTGGAATCACCCGGAAGGTCTTTCATTCACATATCTGGCAGTTGACACTAGCTGTTGACTGAAGTTCTTCCCCATATGGGTCCATCCCTGTGATCTCTACATATGGACTAGATTGGATTCCTCCCAACATGACAGATGGCTGGGTTCTTAGATCCAGATAGAGACAGACAGATGGACAGAGGCTTTGACCCAGCCCTGGAAGTCACTCAGTGTCGCTTTCACATATTCTACCTGTCAGAGCAATCAGAAACTCTCACCAAGGTTCATGATCAGGGTGAAGAACATAGACCCCCACCTTTCCCTCCTCCTGGGAGGAATGCTTTTCACAGTGTAAGGAGTACGTACAGATTGGGATTTGGTGCGGCCACCTTTGTGAACTACAGTATGCCCATGTGAAAATCAAGTTTGTATGTCTCTGGGGATCGGGGTGGGGGGAAAGGGTAGAAAGAGTCAGGGAAGGCAGACAGGGAAGGTCAGCAACAGCTCAAGGCAGTGAGTTTCATCCACACAAAGTCTACCCTGTTCCTGGAAAGGAGACAAACATTCAGACCCAAATGACCTGGATATAATTGTGTTGATGAATACTCATTGAAACCAAACATGCTTGCCAGAGAACCTCACACTCTTCATGAAAAGAAAATGCCAGTGAAGTTCACCACACAACTCAACAGGCAAGCAGTTCTGGTGAAAGTCTTGTGGGAGACAGTGTTCCACCATGCCATCCACAGACCGCACGCCAAGTCACACTAAACTCTGCTTGCTCGCTTCAGTGCCTTTGTCACATTCACATAAAATAAGATGCTCCTCATGGGGTCCTGCTACTCTTTGATGACAACTTGTGCTTCTGAAAAATTAAAATAAAACCCATGATTTAACATTCAAAGAAGAAAATAAACCACTGTACATACTGTTAAATATTCATTTAAACTAAGCATGACAACCGGAACAATTTGTTTATTTTATAAACCATAGAATGCTAAAGAGCAGAAGAGTGGAAAGACCTTGTTCATTTACTAACCCCAATGTTTTTCTTCAAATTCTTCATCCTGTAACAAATAACTAACACTTAAACACATGGAAACACACACACACACACACACACACACACTTAAATACATATACTATAATCGAGTTTAGTCCATGAATGCAAACATGGCCCAATTTCTCAAATAAACAGAAAGAAAAAATTAGGTGATTATTTCCATAATCGATGAAAAGATTGTCAATAAAATTTAATATCTGTTCCTGAGTTAATGTTTTTTTAAAACACTCAAAATAAGAATTCATATAGAATTTTTAATATGATAAAACTACATAAATGTCACTCCCAAAACTGGCATCTTACTTAATGTGGAGGCACTAACAGGAGCCCCACTCAGGTCAGTCACAAGGACAAAGATACTCACTATCTCCATTGCATCCAAGATACAAGCCAAAGCAATCAGAAAAGAAAATAATAAGAGATGTAAGAAGAATCAAAGTATCCTTATTTGTAGGTAATATAGCAGTACACCTGGAAAGCCCAAGAGAATCAAATCAATAATAAAAGCTAACACAACCAATAAAAGAATTTGGTAAAGTAGCAGAATATAAAATTAACATAAGATAGCTATCATGAAAGTCTGACTCTAATAATATGGAGAAACAGACATTGTCTCACATTGCTGGGGAGAATGCAAAATGGTAAATCACCTGTGGGAGAAAATTGGGCAATGTTTAACAAAATTATATATTTATTTACCGATGACTCAGCAAGTTCATTTCCAAGCATCTACCCACGAAGTACTAACAAAAAAATGGTAATTCTAAAGCACTCAAAGTAGGAGTTGATGGACAATTTTTTAACATGATAGCATACATAAAACAAGACCAGAGTCTGTGATAGAAACACAAGGCTATTATTCACTTCAGTACTACCTAAAATAGCAAAAGATTAGGGAAAAAAACCCAAATGTCCAGCAGCATTATGGGGCTGATTAAACTGTGATACATCCATAGAAGGGAATACTATCCAAGGAAGAACATATTAAGAATATACAGTATATGCTGTACACCCTAATCCTAAAATACAAATTCAGCTGAAAAAGAAAGTGGAGAAAAATATATAAAACACACCACTACTAATCTTAGTAAGAACTGGGCCTGTGGGTATAATTTATTGCAATATATGTAAACATTTAAATGGAAGTAAAAGCAAAAATCCTCCAAAGCATGGTTATCAGTAGGGGAAAGAGAAAATGGAGTAAAGGAAACAAGTGTAGAAGTTAGACTGTAATGAATCTATCTTGTTTGACTTTGGAACCCAGGAAATATTTTACTTAATTATAAAACAAGGACAATAGTGGATGAGATTTCTCCACTTGTCCTTGTTTTTGAGGCTATGAGCACAACTGAGTGGAAATAGGTGTCAACAATCTACAGAGGATCCAGCTTCCAAGGGAGAAGTCGGATGGCTGGGGGTCAAAGCCAGAGAAAGGAGGTGCTAGTGAGTGGAGGTGCTGCAATGCAAGACTCACCTCAACCTTGCTCTCAGGTTCATGATCAGCCGCCGGGAAATACACGACCTCCTGCACCTCATCTCTGGGCCGGGCTGAATTCTTCCCGAATACCACTAGACCATCCTTAGCACGTGGCGGGAAGGCCACAAAACAGTAACTTGGAGGCGCTCCAGCCATCCTGAAAAGAGAATGGCCGTGAGAGAATGGCAGCAGGCTTGACATGGGACATTCCAACTGCAAGAGCTTCAAACACTTTTTACCAGTTAAAGGAGTTTTACTATGGAACTGTGCGCAGTTAGCTCATGAAGTGATCCCAGTTGGCAAACGAAGGTGGGGTGCATGAGGTAGGTAGAATTACAGAGCCACGGAAAAAAGGAAAGTAGGTTATTATTCCAGGCAGAACACACACCACACACACACACACACACAATCTGTCACACAAATAAATAAATACTCAGATACCCCTTGGTATTTGCAGGAGATTGGTTCTAGGATCCCTTGTAGATACCAAAATCCACAGGTGCTCATGTATAAAAAGACATCATATTTGCATATAACCTATGCATATCCTCTTGTATGCTTTAAATCATCACTAGATTATTTGTAATACCTAATACGATGTAAATAGTTCACAGACTGTATTGTTCAGGGAATAATGACAAGAAAAAAATCTGTACGTGTTTAGTGCAGATGTAAGTCATCCCTACCCTGGCCAAATGTGCAGTTAGTTGAATCCACAGATATGGAATCTATAGATACAGAGGGCTGATGATTTTATAGCAGTGCATTACACAGAGACCTAGAGCTGCACGGCCTCTGCCTGACAGATTTCACGGTGGGATAAGAAAATAGGTCTAAAGATAAACTGAAAAATACCAGACCCCTTTTCTAAAAAGTTATTTTCATCTTTTGGTTTTCTTCCCACCTCCCTATTGACTCCTGGGCTGGCTCAATCTCTTCTAAGTGGCCATTGCTCATCTTTCCTGCTAGATCCTTCTTTCTTCTTCTAATGGTCTTCCCCTCCCCACCCCCAGGGAAATACATGCACGCTCAGTGCTTCTCTTGTCAATTTTGTGCCAATGACCTACACATTTAATTTCAGTTCAGTTCTCAACTTGAGCCTCTGACCCATATAGACCACTTTCTCCCTGATATCCGAAGCAGATCTTTCCAAAATTGAGTACCTTCCCAAGGTTCCCTGTTTCAGAGCCAGCTCCGCCATTCACTCACCCTTGTGCTCCCACAACTCCACCCCAGGGGACTTTTACTGGTTCCTCCAATACCCCCCAGGGCTTTTACACATTCTCCATCCTTTTTCCTGAGCATTCCCTTCCCTGTTCCCTACACTAAAACAATTTGCCTCCTTAACTCCTGCAGCTTTGCGTACCAGTTTAAAGGTCACTCTAATTTATGTCACTATACTATACACTCTTATAGAATCCTGTTTTTTCCTTTATGGTAACAATTTTCGCAATATGAAATATTTGTGAAATTATGTTATTATCAGCAATCAGTACTCAGTTTCTCACTGGGCACCCATGGCACATACCTGTAATCTTAGCTACTCAGGAAGCAGAGATCAGGAGGATCACAGCTCAAAACCAGCCTAGCAGGTAGTTCACAAGACTCTATCTCAAAATGCCCAACACAAAACAGGGCTGGAAGTGTGCCTCAAGCAGTAGAGTGACTGCCAAGCAAGCATGGGGCCCTGAGTTCAAATCCCAGTACCACCCAAAATAAATTCCGTTTCTCCCCTCAAAGACAAAGCAATATGAGAGCAAGAACCATGCCTTTTCTGCATACCATTGTAGACCCAGTCTATACAACACCATATGCAGAATAGATTTTCAATAAATAATAGACAAGTGCTCTTTTTTGTGTTTCCTAATATTCTACAACTGAAGTTGATTCTCTCCAACCCTCTTTTCTCACCACCATGCCCCTGCACTTGACTGGAATGCCCTTCCCTTAGTCTTTTTGCATAATCCTCAGGATCTGATGCAAAACTGCGTCCCTTCAGGAAGATTTCCATAAAGGACTCTGTCATTTGGTCAGCTTGCAATCACATCCACTTTGTTCCAAAATGTACATTCTTTTCATCATAAGGGCAGGCACAATGCTTATTTTAATGTGTCTCCATCCACTCTTTTATTTGCTATTGTACATTTATTATACCCTTATGCTTATGCTCTAATACAACTTTGCATTGTTGTTCACTTGATTTGCTGCATTGCGCAGATCACTGTTGTTGGTCTACGTGAATTATGCGTGAGTGCTCTCTCCAACATTTTCCCTCAGCCTCTCCTCCTTCTCTAGGATATGTTCCTGCTTCAGTCTGTATTCTCCTCATCACATTCTAAACCCTTAAAACATGAATATTCAAAGAAGAGCGAAGATGAAAATGCTGATGAGTTGTTCCACTTCCTTTCTCCTCAGCTCCTCTTTGACAGCACCACAAACTCTTTTTCTATCACTCTGGAATTTGAGTCCCAAGCTTATCAAACACATAGGATTTTACATATACATACAATTGATGAGCTTGCTAAATAAAATCATGTCATTTGTTGCTTGTAAGTAATATACTTCTTCAGCTGTTTTTGCAAACTTTGGAAGCTACATAAGTAGAAGATACTTTGGGTTTTGACTGTTAAAATAGGGCAACATCTCAAATTTCTGCTATCAATCAAAATTGACTTGCCTCATTCATACCTACAGCAAGTTGTCAAATTAGTCAGCAATATTTTGTGGTTAGAAATATCTCTGTAGGCAATCATATTGCTACTTCTATGCTCACACTGCTTCAAACACAGGTCTTACACCTACAAGAAGTACCTGTAGAAAATAAAAAAAACCCAAAGAGTTTTTGTCAAGCCCCTATTCTTCAGTCAGGGCATCTGCTTTGTCAGTAAGTCAATGTCATCCCTTGACCATGACAAAGATATAACCAACAGAAGCACAGAGGGCTAGAGACCAAGGGAGACTGATTTTTTCTTTTTCTCTAAATTTTGTGAATGACTGGGAACGCCGGAAAGGAGTGGAATTTCAGTGCGTATTAAAAAAAAAAAGAAGAAGAAGAAGAAGCTAGATCAAACTACACCACAACCAAAAGCAAACTAGCCAAGCTAACAGCATTTATTTTGCCTGAGTCCTTCTATACATTCACCAGGGCTCCCTTCTACTGTTTGGATCAGGGCTCTACAAAAGAACTCTTTATGGTGACTGAAATGTCCCATCTTCACTCTCCAACACGGCAGCCACTAACCTCATGCAGCTGTTGAAGTGTGTTTCATATGGTTAAGGAACTCACTTTTCAGTCTTATTCAAAACATTTATTAATTTACACTTTAGGCAGCCACATGTAGCTAGTAATAACTCTATTGGGTGGGGCAGAAATCCAGAAATGAAGATTTCCATATTAAGACTCCTGATAATCCCAAAGTACTTATTTGTGAAATCCTCTTATTCTAGTGACAAAATGTGTGCTATCTGCCATAAAAACTGAATTAGCAAAGAGGAGGCAGGGCACTTTCAGAAGTGCCCTGAGCTGCTGAGCTCACCAGCTGACTTGTTGAAATAAACTCTTTTCTCCAGAAGCTAAGGGTGAAACCCAATGCCAATTCCAGTTCTCCTGGGGGAATCTCATAATCTGAATCCCACCATGACCATGACCTTTTTTTCTGTCTGAAAATCCTTTGTGTACTTGTCAGCAATTCCTCTCTCTCTCTCTCTCTCTCTCTCTCTCTCTCTCTCTCTCTCAATCTCTCTCCTAAAGGAATTTTGACACCTTCACTTTTCTCCAGACCTCTGCCATTTCCATCCAGTAGGTATGTCACTTCCTATTCCACAAAAGATGGGGTGACTGCAGTGTTATGGTGCAGGCCTGACTGTGCCCTGGGGCCCTCTTGTGAGTTATGGAATCCATTGAGTGGAACCACATTTTGGGGGAAAAAGAATTTTTAGAAAGAATTTTTAGAAAAGAATATGTGCATCTCACAGAGTAAGGGTAACTGTTGATAGAAGCAACCCTAAGTTAGGTGCATATATCAACACATGTAAACATGTACAGGTACTGGATAGAGAAATTGCATTTCTCTCTGACTGTGGGTCTCAAGAAAAAAGCTCCTAAAAGTAATAGACTTAAAGGATAGGCCTACTGAATAAGGCTACTTTTATGGTAATGCCAATTAGGATTCTTGCCAGATTAGCAATAAACTAACAGCTCTAATTAATGAAACACTCTAATTTAACTCCCATCAATGGTGAAACTGACAGGCATTTCCTAAGAGGTCATTTGTAAGGAAAGTGCATTTATCTGGAGTCCATATTGTATATCTATGATTTCTCCAAGTGAAATTATTTTTAACATTATATGTTATTGGAGGACAGGGAATATTCGAACACAGGAGGTTAGGATAATGATGCAAGTTGAAAATTTGAGCAGTTGGCATTTTTATGAAGGAGAAAAGAAGGCAGAGAATGAAAAAAATAGCTGGTATTTTTTTCCCCAACCCCCAATTCCAGGCAGTTCTCAGCATAGACTACCAGTTTCCTGTCCAACAGAACTTTCCAGGATGTTTGTAATATTCTTTATCTTGCTGTCTAATGAAGAGCCGGCTATTGGATACTCAAAATGTGGTTAGTGCAAATGAAGAACTGATTTTCTAATTAATTTAAAATTAAGCAGTCAACATTATGCTAAATGAAATAAGCCACAAAACACACAAAGACAGGTTGAGTATCCTGTATTCAAAATGCTTGGAACCAGAAGTGTTTCAGATTTCAGACATGCTCAGATTTTAGAATTATTGTGTAATAAAGATATGGGAAGGGAGACACTCAAGTGTAAGCACATAATTCACTTATGTTTCAGGTACATATAGTCTGAGTATAATTTTGTACAGTATTTTTAATTCTCCTGTGTTTTGACTGTGACCTGTTACACGAGGTCAGATGTGGAAGTTTTCACTTTCAGTGTCAAAAGGCTTAGATTTTTTGGATGAAGGATGCTCAAGCTCTACTATCTGATATTACCTACATAATATATCTATAGTAGTCAAAAAAGCCATATAGAAAAGGAAAGTAGAGTGAGGGTTGTCAAGGGCTTTCAGATAGAAGGGAATGGGGGAGTTTCCATCACAAGATGAAAAGCTTCTGGAGATTGGTTGTACAGCAATGTGAATTATACCTTACAGAGAAACACCTAAGGTGATCTGTTTTATGTTATGTGTATTTTACCACAATTAATTTTTTTAAAAATAGGCTGGCCTCAAACAAATGATCCTCCTGCCTCAGTCTCCTGAGTGCTGGGATTACAGGCATGTACCATCACACCCAGATATGATACAATTTTCAAAAAATTTAAAGAGTTACA